CCTGGCTGACTAGTTCTTCCTCCAGCCTGGCCCACGTGTGTGTGGGTGTGGGTGTGTGTGTTTGTGTGTGTGTGTGTGTGTCGCGCCGCCCATGATACAACAGGTTGGAACTCGGAGCAGGCGCAGAAGAGATCCAATCATCTGCCAAACCTGCCTGCTTCCCGCCGTCGTTCCTGCTGCCTTTGCCCTCAGATAGATCAACCCGGGCCTGAGTGTGTTTGTGTAGCGATGGAGGGATAATAAACTAGAGGTAGCAGCACGAAAACCGGCCTTACACCGCCCCTTCTGCCTCCTTCGTCCACGGTGAGAGACAGGTAAAGAGAGACAGAGACTCAAGACGACCCTAAGACTTCCCTATAGACCCATCGCAGTCCCACCTCATACATATCCCAAGATCTATGACCTCCTTAGTGACTCTTTCTCTCTCTCTCTCAAGCACAGCAGAGAATAAGTGGAAATATAAATAATCTCTAATAATGGGCAATGTTGTAGATATATTTTAGGTTTAAACGTATCATAAGGTTTAAAGAAAGGAACTATTATTGGGGAGATTTATTCAAGGATTAGGGAAAATGGTCATTAATATGTTAATAGTGTTTTGTTGACTTTATAAACCTGGAGGATAAGACGTGGGTGTTGACCTGTGTGTGTGTGTGTGTGTGTGCATATGGTGACATTAGGAGAGAGTGACAAAGAAGGAGTTGAAGGAATAATGCATAAAATACTACACAAACATACTTACATACATACATACAGTACAGGTGTCAGCATTCGTTCTTAAAATTAATTAAATCCGCTTCACAGAGGTTCAGAGTCGATTCCAGTCCTTTATAGGGGATTGGGTTCCCCTCGTGTCCCGGAGTATTGGATCCAGCAGATGCGATCTTCATTTGATTGGCAGATCAGGTAGAGAAGCTTCACTCCCAGGCGAAGGTTTTCAAAGGCTCCAACTTTTATATATTTAAATTGTCTTAATTGTATCATTCAGTAGTGACGTAATGATGGTGACTCAAAAATGGACACGTGGGTGGGTGGTGAGGGGGCCTTACACTGTGTCTTTCCTTTAAGCAGATATAACATTTGAAGGCACCCTGGTCTTCTCTAAAGTGTCACACGATCATTATTTTTTTTCATCTTTCAGTATCATTGTTGCTTCACTTGTTAGTGTAAGGAAGTGCTCCATCAATCACTGTTACTGTCTCCCTCCTGCAACAAGCTTAGTTTACCTTCAATTATTCTTTTTGTTATGATTCTCCGCCACACAGTAACTCCCTCATGTTACCGGGATCAATTCCTGCAGCTCACACACTCACCCGACAGTCGTGTCTATCTATGAAGTCACTCAAGTGGTCGTCGTCACTCATTGTCAACAACCCCGTTTACCTTCCTCTTCAGTAACAAGATCCATCAGTGTCTTTGAAACAGTAAGGCGAGAATCACAATCAGCTATAAGGACATCTAGCCTCGGTAGTGTTGGTGCTGCACGTCCGGTAGTTCTTATAATTCATCTTAAACAAGTATCCCCAACTCAAGTGTCCCTGAACGTCTCTAAAGCGTTTTCTGTGAGTGCGTGAGGACGCTACCGCGGACTCACTCAATGTTTCCCGGTGGTGCTCAGTGGTAGTGTGATAAACACCCGCTGATGACGTGTTCAGAAGCAAGTGTGTGAGCTTTACAGGTGGGACGGTCTCGCTCATTTTTTATTATAAGCTCAACAATATGAGAACGCTGAGGCTCGTGCTGCTCCTCATTAAAATTCTAACTCTTAATCTTCATCCTGATTTAAACAGATTTTTTTCATTAATAATTTAGAAAATAATATCATAAAAATTCCTACACTTTTTCCAAGCCCTGTGAATAAACACTTTATATATATATATATATATATATATATATATATATATATATATATATATATATATATATATATATATATATATATATATATATATATATATATTGTTACGACCGTGTCGTATTTTTCTATTTTTTTATATATACAGGTATAACATGCTCCCATGTTGTTCCATATTATTCCTGTAATGATGTGTTAAATTTACTATTATATCTAGTCGCCTTACCCTGTGCTGTTAAGGTTTTAACTGTTATTATTTGTTCAAGCCCATCTTATTTCTTCATTTAGTATTGAAACAAGCATTCTTTGTTGCTCTAACGACCATCTGCATCGTCAAACGACCCACCGGCGGGTCGCGTGGCGGGAGCCGACCTTATATATAGGACCCACCAACTGACGGAGTTAGTTCAGTCGTCTTGTCATACAGTCCACACCCTTTGAGTGACACTCGTCACCTGTTATTTCTACTTACTTAATTTATTTGTGTTGTTCCTGTCGCCACCAATGTGGTATATCTATGTGAGTACCTATTTATGTCTCTGTTTATGTCCATCAGTATTTGCTTAGTTACATTTAAGTAATTCAGTGTTGTTTCACGTTAGTTAATTTCAGTGTTAGTTTTTATATGTTTATGCAGTGTTGACGTAATCCAATGCTTTATTTTTATTCTTTTGATGTTTCGGTGTTTAGTATCATTTGTGTCTTAAAAGTTTCGATGGTGAATCAATTTGTTGCGACAGCCTACGAGGCTCTTTAATGTGTTAATATTTAATTAATTCTTAAAGGTTTACTTTAATTATTTTTATTCCCTTTTAATTTACTTCACATTTTTGTTTAGTTGTTACGCCCAGAACCTGGATATTTAAGTAAATTAAGAGACGGCATATATATATATATATATATATATATATATATATATATATGGGAATAGCTCACCCGGGCACAGGTCATCGACCCACAATGGAGCCGAGGGGAGGAAAAAATTAGAGCAGAAAGAAATTTAAAATAGAAATGAAAAAGACTATATTAATGTACACCACAAAGATGCCGGAAACCATCTTTTTAAAGTGAGACAGATTGTATGAGTATGGAAACACAGAAAAAGGCAGAGCATTCCACAGCTTGGCTGTGTGAGGAAAGAAGGAGGTACTATAACGGGTTATTCTCGTGTGACCGACATCCATAGAGAAACGATGGGCACCGCGGGCAAGACGTGTTACGAGCCCACGGCCTTGCCGGCGGTACACTGGATGCCAGATCCACCGAACATTGCCCGTTAAAGTACAGTACCTGTAAAAAAGAGTGAAGCAACATTGTGGCGAAGAGAAAGGGAAGAAAGATTAATTATCAACTAAAGGAGGAGAGTTAAAAAGACAAAATGCCTTTGATTCCACCCTATCTAACCGTTGGACAGAAGAAGAGCTACCCCAGATATGAGAGCAGTACTCCAAGTTAGGACGAATGAATCCCTTATATACTTGAAGCAACTGCTCAGGAGTGTAGTAGCTATGGCATCTGTACAGCATTCCCAGATTTCGGGAGGTGGCTTTAGCAATGTTGTGGATGTGTGGCTTCCATGAAATATTAGAGGAAATGGTGAGGCTGAGTTTATCTATTTTAGAACTTGGCAGAGTGATTGTGTCTTGAAATGTGATTGGTGGGAGATCATCTAATCTGGAAAGTGTAATTGGTAAATACTGAGTTTTATTACTATTGAATTTAGCCAAGTTTCTATCTCCCCATTCGGAGATGCTGTACAGATCCGCATTGATAGATGTAATGATATCAGCTCTAGAAACAGATCTAGTTAGAGAATTAGGGGGAAAAAATGTGAAGAAGAGTGAAGAGTAGAATCATCAACGTAAGAATGGATAGAATTTGTCAGGTGTATTGGGGATATAATTAAGTATACCGACACACCTGAGTGTGTACTCTGCATGTTACGGTTGACGTGACTCCTGATATATAACATACATGTACTGTACTGTACTGTATTGTATTGTATTGTATTGTACTGTACTATACTATACTGTATTGTACTGCACTGAACACGTCTACACAGGTTCCCCAAACACTATCTTATCAAGTCTGATTCCAATCTATTTCCGTCCCTATTTTTTTTGTTTAAACCTTCCCCAAATACTGTCCCACAATAAATTAGCAAAAGTTACGTGCATCGGCCGGGAATCGAACCCGGGCCTCCCGCGTGGCAGGCGAGAATTCTACCACTGAACCACCGATGCTGTATATTTCTTAGTGAAAAGGCGGATAAAATGTAGAGAGGGTGGCTCACGTTCGTCAGTGTATCATTCCGCAGTAGAGACGAACGCCAGGCGCCTACGTTCGCTCGTGTTGTTTTGTTAACGTTACGGTCCTATTATTATACAACCGCCCGGCGAGGAAAGTCTTAAGGACATTTTCACCCAAATCCCCTCAAAAATGCTAAGCGTCATTGTGTATTCTATGCATATAAAGAGGAGAGAGAAAGAGACGGATAGAGACACAGAGAGATCTATAACTCCTTCATACTACTACACAGACGTCTCTCATTACCCCCTCCACCATCACTACCCCCCACCATCACTACCCCCCACCACTACCCCCACACCATCACTACCCCCAACCTCCTCCCCCATCACTACCACCCATATATAGGTATTAGTCCACTTCTGTGTTGGTTCAGTCCCTTACTCCTACCCCTGCCACTGTCTTTATTACCTTGATGACTTAACGACTTGAGGACGATGACTTAACGACTTGATGACTTAACGACTTGATGACGATGACTTAACGACTTGAGGACGATGACTTAACGACTTGAGGACGATAATTTAACCCCTTGATGACGATGACTTACCACGCAGGTCTCGTCATTGATAATGATCACGGTTTAGCAAGATACATCATTAATCCAAACGAGACAAGCATAAACATATCTCATTAAAAACACACACACACACTCTCTCTCACTTTGCTCACACTTTTCTTTTCTTGGCCAAAAACCACTCTCCTTCATGTGCCGCCAACACTACTATGGGAGGCCCGTCACTGCTCCACCCCCCTCCCCCCCCCACCTCCTCCAGGACGCGATTTCAGCGTCTGTTTTGGGGGTCTGTTGACGTCACGTGTTTAATGAAGTGGTCGACTCGGGTGGCAGTATATCGTGGTGGTGCACTGAGAGGTGAAGGGTAGCGACGCAGTGTAGAGAAGTCACCACTACTAACACCACTTCCACTCGCCACCACTACTAACACCACTTCCACTCGCCACCACTACTAACCCCACTTCCACTCGCCACCACTACTAACCCCACTTCCACTCGCCACCACTACTAACACCACTTCCACTCGCCACCACTACTAACACCACTTCCACCTTCTATCAACACCACCACCATTAAACCAACTCACTGCCACCATTACTAGTGATCAGGTCATGACCCCGCCGGCGACTACACCTTCTGCTGCTGTTAAATCCGTCTCTAACACGACTACTGAAGCCTCTACAGCTACTTCAGGCACCACCTACATGAACACTCACCACAGTACCCCGCCTCACCCCACCAGGATGACTGACAGGGACTCTACCTCGACCAGTGTGGTAGATTCAGAGGGTCGACTCCTGAAGAAGGTGTTGGAGGTGGTAGAACGGGAGAAACTGGTGACGGGAATGAGTGAGACGCAGAAGGTGGTAGACTTCCATCACCCACAACACCTACAGGTAAATGGTCGAGTATTGTTCTTACCTGAGACAAACTGATGCACTGTAGAGATGGCGAGACTAGTGAGTGTATAGCTTATGTCTGACAGGTGAAGGATACCAGGTGAAGGATACCAGGTGAAGGATACCAGGGGAAGGATACCAGGGGAAGGATACCAGGTGAAGGATACCAGGTGAAGGATACCAGGGGAAGGATACCAGGTGAAGGATACCAGGTGAAGGATACCAGGGGAAGGATACTAGGGGAAGGATACCAGGTGAAGGATACTAAACGTGTTAGAGGGGAGGAGGAGTGAGAAACAGAACACGTGTGGCTCAAGTTTCTTCCTTAGTGGTGATTATATGCATGACTATAATAAGTATGTTATAGAAGAGTCTTATAGAGAGTGTAGACAGTAATGTGTTAATGCCTGTCGGGGAGAGAAGACAGACAGAAATAACGAGACGGGGATGTAAAAGAACTATTGGACAGAGAGCAATTAATCAGGGTTGTGATGAGAGACCGGGAGGTGGGGACATTGATAAACCAGTGTATAGGATAGAGATGGATGATAGACGGGGATAGAAGGATGGCGTGAAGGAATAGACAGAATGATGTGGAGTGAACTGCTTTGGGTTCTTGATGATGTAAGAACTGTGTGTGTGTACGTGTGTGTGTACGTGTGTGTGTGTACCAACATATGGCCAACAGTATCTTATCTCGCGTCTGTGTCAAAATAACTGAACTTGGTGTTTACTGATCCAGTGTAAACTCTATTTAATGAACTATATCGAGAAGAAAGTCCATTAGATCGCGGGTCCGTTAGATTTGAAACCTCCATCTAACGAACTATATAGAGATGAAAAGTACGTTATATCGAGGGTCCTTTAGATATGTACCCCCCACATCTCACGGATTATATATAGAGAGAAGTCCGTTATATGGAGGTTTCATTGTATCTAGATCAGAATTCTCAAAGGCTCGTACGTGTTAATTTTCTCTCGAGTGTTGCTAAGGGAACATCTACTGGCTCATATTTTTAAGACAAAATGATGGATTTTCCCTTAACTGGTTATGTAAGAAATTAATCTCACTAACTCATCTAAGAGAAGAAGTCAATTTGGATTCTCTAGCATTCGTAATTCATACTTTAAAACTCTTAAATTAATGAAGTTAAAATGTATCATACTGCCTTATACGGATTAGGTTAGGTAAGTTTAGACGAAAAAAAAGTGAATTCTCAAATATTCGTAAATTAAAATCTTCCCCCAGCTGAAGACGTGACAACGCATTATGATGATCTGACACACCAACAAGGGCGTCTCACACACACACCAACAAGGGCGTCTCACACACACACCAACAAGGACGTCACACACAGTAACAGGGGCGTCACAAAGCGGGTGTAACAGTAGGAGGCAAGACGTGATTTAGATGACGTTACTTGTGTGTTTTTATCGCGCCTTCGCCATCATGGTTATATAATGGTAGGTTTTTTTTTTTCTCTCTCTCTCTCAACCACAGGCTACAGCGCATAATACACTAATACCAGGCGAAAAACGACTTTATCCCTATATACTAAATAACTGTATTCCTGTATTCCAGAAACTACTACAGCTGGAGATCAGGAGGGAGGGGAGGACGCTGACGGAGGCCCAGGAGGTGCTGGAGAAGGTGGTTCAGTATAGCGTCAAGACCCAACACCCTCACTTCTACAACCAGCTGTACGCGGGTATCGACGAGGTGGCTCTGACCGGTGCCTGGCTCACTGAAGCCCTCAACACTAACCAGTAAGGTGGTCCCGGTAGTGTAAACAAGGTGGTGTACCGGGGGGTTTACATCTGATTACATGGCCTCACAGACTCGTGTAACCCTGTGGCTCTTATGGCCTCACAGATTCGTGTAACAATGTGGTTCTTATGGCTTCACAGACTCGTGTAACACTGTGGTTCTTATGGCCTCACAGACTCATGAAACACTGTGGTTCTTATGGCCTCACAGACTCGTGTAACACTGTGGTTCTTATGGCCTCACAGACTCCTGAAACACTGTGGTTCTTATGGCCTCACAGACTCATGAAACACTGTGGTTCTTATGGCCTCAGACACTTGCAACACAGACTTCTTCACACGACTATAAAGGATCACCTCTGCCCGTTTTCAGACACACGTTCGAGGTGGCCCCTGTCTTCATCATGGTAGAACACTTTGTCATCTCTAAACTTGTGGAGCTGTTTGGCTGGCAGCAGGGCGATGGCATTTTCTCCCCAGGTCAGTTGGCACCCCAATTACTCTCTTCCTTTGTTGGCACCCCATAACTCTCCCCTATGTTGGCACCCCATAACTCGCCCCTCTGTTGTTGGCACCCCATAACTCGCCCCTCTGTTGTTGGCACCCCATAACTCACTTCTGTTGTCAAATACTACTGGATTCTTGATTCTATAACTAACTACAGACGGTACTGCTGTATTTTATGACAGTCTGGCCTTATTTGATGACTGTATTTGATGACTGTTACAGGAGGTAGTATGAGCAACATGTACGGTTTGGTGTTGGCCAGGTACCGCGCCCACCCAGAGGTCAAGAGGCGAGGTAACTCCAGTACTAGGCCCTTGGTGATCCTGACCTCTGACCAGGTGAGATAATAGGAGGGAGGGAAGGAATGGTGAGAGATGGGAGGGAGATTGAGAGAGATAGGGAAGGGAGAGAGGGAGGGAGCTAAGATGTTGGAGTAGAGGGAGAGAGAAGTATTACTATTACAATTATTAAACAATATTAACATTATTATTAATATTATTAGTTATTGTTATTACAGTATTGTTATTATTATCATTATCATCACCACCACCACCACCACCATCATCATCACCACTACCACCCTCTCTACCATCATCATCACCATCATCACTGTATGATATATATGTACATTATTACGTATATTATGTTTGTTCTCCATTTACATGCATTATTTATTCAGCCTAGCCATTAGCGTGTGGCAATGTATTTAAGATGTCCCACATGCCTAAGTAATGTGCCTGGCGACGTATGGAAGCTGCTAATGTATCACTTGCCATACGTCGCCTATAGAGCAGTTGACCAGCAGACAGGTTGAGGAGCGCTACTTCCCTTGTGTACATATCTCTTATCCAGTAAATCGAACCTACAAAACTATACAGGTGTTTGTGTTCGTTCCTGTATATTGAACTTATTACCCAGAACACGAACAATCACCATCACCACCACCTCCTCCTCACCTCTACCATCATCACCACCAACACCACCACTATCATCATCACCACCACTATCATCATCACTACTATCATCACCACCACTATCATCATCATCACCACCACCACCACCTCACCACTACCATCATCATCACGATCATCGCCACCATCATCATAATCATCACCACATCCACCATCACCACCATCACCTCACCTCTACCATCACCACCAGAGTCACTACTCCATCAAGAAGGCGGCAGCATGGGCCGGCCTGGGGACGGACAACGTGGTGCTGGTTCAGACGGACTCCTTGGGGAGGATGCTGCCTCAGGCGCTGAAGGAGGCGGTAAAGGAAGCCAGGAGAAGTGGAGGAGATCCTTTCTTCGTCAATGCCACTGCAGGAAGCACCGTGTTTGGGGCATTCGATCCCCTGGAAGAGGTGGCGGACGTGTGTGAGGAGGAAGGACTTTGGTTACATGTTGACGTAAGCACCTGCAGGAGTAGACTCACTACAGTAGGAGTCCCTTAGCTAGTGTGTCAGATGCATCAGTAACTATTTAATGTGCTGGTGTTGTACCCTGAACTGTAGGCAGAACTTAACCCATCACAGCAAACGACTAAACTTATACTTTAAACACACGTCACTTCTGATCGTGGAGAACTAAAGCGACGGATTAATGGTGGGGAAGGGACTTGGACTTCGGGTGGCAATTAGCATGGACCTCCTGCTTGTAACGCTGAATAACATATTGATAGAAGAGTCTTAGTTGCCTTCCCTACACACTTAACCAAAACACCGTAGATGATAAATGAGGTACAGACAAGGCAAGCTAAGAGAACATCTACAGAAATTAGCAGATCACTTAAGGCTACCAGATAGTCTACACCTTTACAGTATACAAGTAGCTGCATCACTACATCACCCATGACCATCTTCCTTCTACAGGCGTGTTGGGGAGGGACGGCCATACTCTCCAGAACATATTCACACCTGCTGCAGGGTATACACAGGTAAGGACCTCGAACTGTACTGTGGTGATGGGGAGAGATGGGGAGGCAGGGGAAATAAGTGCGAGAGAAGGAAGGAGAGAGAAAATGAGAAGGGGAGAGAGAAGAGAGAGAGGGAAAAAGAGAAAGCGTGAGAGAGACAGAGTGAAAAGGGAGAGAGAGAGACAGGAGGGAGAGTTAGTTTAGTTTAACAAATTTATTGACAAAGCCTGGAGTACAGTTTGCCTATTCCGAGTAATTCAGTTAGGTGGATGTGTATGTAGGACTTCTCCTCCCGTCTACTGCACACCCACGTCTTATCACCCTCAGGGCTGACTCCATTTCTTGGAACCCTCACAAGATGCTCGGTGTCTCTCTGCAGTGTTCACCCTTCATCGTCAAGCACCAGGTAAGCCACACTTAACACATATGAAACGAGACGAACGAAAAAAAAAACGATTCTAATGTTTGTTTACGATTCTGGCCGCGTTTTGTCTGTCCAATGTTCGTCTTTACTAAACTGACTGTTGGATGTTTTTCGTGCGTAAGGGAAATTTTTTTATCTCGTATACTAGAAGATATCATCATAAACAAGTGTCTCTCACATACTGCAAAGGTTACAGGTCATTAACAAAAAAGATGAGACTAACGAGTATGTAAAACATGGTAAGCAATACAATGACTGGAGCTTTGTGTCACCAGGGGCAGATGGTGGACAGTGTTGCTTCACTCATGTTACTCTCTTCAGATTATGTTGGGACTACCACCCCCTCAGTCTCACTACCCACCCACCCTCAGTCTCTCACTATCCACCGTCACCCCTCAGTCTCTCACTACCCACCCACCACCCTCAGACTCTCACTATCCACCCGTCACCCTCAGACTCTCACTACCCACCCACCACCCTCGGTCTCTCACTACCCACCCACCACCCTCAGACTCTCACTATCCACCCGTCACCCTCAGACTCTCACTACCCACCCACCACCCTCAGACTCTCACTACCCACCCACCACCCTCAGACTCTCACTATCCACCCGTCACCCTCAGACTCTCACTACCCACCCACCACCCTCAGACTCTCACTACCCACCCACCACCCTCAGACTCTCACTACCCACCCAGACTCACCCTCAGACTCTCACTATCCACCCGTCACTCTCACTATCCACCCACCACCCTCAGACTCTCACTACCCACCCACCACCCTCAGACTCTCACTACCCACCCACCACCCTCAGACTCTCACTATCCACCCGTCACCCTCAGACTCTCACTACCCACCCACCACCCTCCGACTCTCACTACCCACCCACCACCCTCAGGGTCTGCTCCACGAGGCCAACTCCGCAAGCGCCTCCTACTTGTTCCAGCAAGATAAGTTCTACGACACGTCGTACGACACGGGGGACAAGAGCTTCCAGTGTGGTCGCAAGGTGGACGCCTTCAAGCTCTACCTTGTAATGAGTCTCCACGGACTCGACGAGCTGGAAAGACGTGTCGACGCCGCCTTCAGTGCCTCCAGGTAGATATTGTGGTCTTCGGGTCTACGATGACAAACCTTCTTGGTTGGTAAACCTTTAGCTCACAGTAAGAAGCTCACCCGTTGTGTTGCTTTACTCACTTAAGAATAAACTTGTACTAATTGAAGTCTCCAAATATGAATACAGTCACCCAGAGCCCTAGACGAGACAGCCTGTGACCAGTTATAACATGTACTGTACTCACACATACCTGTCAACAGCTGTTTGTTGGATCCACATGTATGCACAAATGTATCCTGAAGTCTCGTGGTTGCTTCTTCAGGTACCTGTACGACCAGGTGTTAGCTCGTCCTGGGTTCCGGCCGGTGCTTGACAGGTGCCAGTGTACCAATACCTGTTTCTGGTACATCCCGCCCAGCCTCCGAGGACAACCCGAGACCCAAGAGTGGTGGGAGAAGTTGAGCAAGGTGAGGGCGGGGTTGGAGATGCTGGATAAGTTGTGTGAGAAAGAGACGGACAGACAAGATACACTATCATTACACCAAGTATGATCACCCACAGGTAGCGCCAGAACTCAAGACTAGGATGATCAAGGCTGGCAGTATGATGATCGGATACCAGCCAGTCAAGGAGAAGGGGCTGGTCAACTTCGTCCGGATGATCAATACCTGTGTACCAGCCCCGACGAACCAACACATGGAACAGGTTTTGGATCAGCTGGAAGCACTAGGAGCTGACCTGTAGGATAGCTGGGTGATGTTTGCGATAGCTGGGTGATGTTTACGATAGCTGGGTGATGTTTACAATAGCTGGAGGATGTTTACGATAGCTGGCTTATCTTGTAGTAGCTGATGCACTTCATGATGACAGCTAACACTTATTATGAAGACAGTTACTGAGCTCAATCTAAAGTGAATAAAGTTTCAAAGTTCTCTTATTCTCATTTGAACATCAACTGTATTTTAAGAAGGTGACACACACGTTATCTGCAGTCAGCTCAGTCCTCTCATGGTTGCTGATTTCGTTGACAAACAGATGGCGGTAAATATCAGCGTTTGGCAGCAGTTTCAAGGTCGAAGAGGAAATTGTCGAATTTCGTGAGTCTGAGACCTTTCTTTGCGACCGTGTTACTTGTGGTGCTCGTTGTATTTCCAGGACCCGGTCAAGTATCTTTGGTTGAGAACCCCTTAGTATGCACACACAGTGGCTATTTTACTATTAATAATGCTGTAGCGTTATACATCGTGGCAGGATACAGTGTCACATAAATGACAACCAAGTTCTGCTAACCAATTTGGTGTTGGAAAATTTAACAGGTTGGTAAAAGATTAAAGAAACCACTTATTACGATGACAATTTTTATTAGGGTTTAAAATCTTGTAAGACCTGAGAAGTTGGTGGTTTAAGACGACCTCTAGATGCTATTATGTATCAGTGACCCTTTGACCTGACCTGCCCTACCTTCACAATTCATGCTCAGAGGACGTCATAGGAGGTGAGACCTGTGTAAAGAAAGACGTTTATGGTCAGTTTAGGTATACTCAAGTACCTACAATGACATATTAACGAGAAAATGAGGCACAAACTGAGGTATTAAGGGGGAGACACTCACTATTCTAAGGTCAAAGGTCACTTAAGTTGACAGATGAAGGGGTGAAGTTCGGAAGGGTCTCTGTCCTCTAAGTGGCCGTGATGATTGATAATGAGGTTGTTCTCCTTTAAGCCTCCGTCAGGCTGGCCGGGTTCCCAGAACGGCGCCCCCGTTAGGACCTTCTTCTTGTTGAGCCAGAACCAGTTGTCCTCCTCGAAGAAATCCGTCCCGCCCAGCCAGTAGCTCTTGTTAGACTCTGTGGGTGAGTAGAGGATGAGAGAGAGAGAGAGAGAGAGAGAGAGAGAGAGAGAGGCCGGCCGGCTTAACACATGAAAACACCACAACAATTGCACAACTTTCCTTCACACTTTGAAACCAAAAGATAACCCCACTACACGCCTTACTACTGTATATCAAAACCAGCCACAACAACCACTACCACGCGCTTCCACAAGGTTGAAAGTCAAATACTGTGCAGTAGAAACCAAGGTCGTCTCTCTGGGGGCCGGGAGGGGGGGGGGGGCATACATGGGGCGATTACATCGGTAATGTGATCGATGACTATTACAGTAAAAATTTACTTAAACGATTATGATTACTATTACATGATCATGATTACAAGCATGATTACTTCAAAATGAATGTGCATAAACAAACGAACGGACTACAAAAACTCAATTTACTGTAATGTTTGTCAACCTGATACTATTAAATTATATTTTCTGAGATGAATAAGGTAGACATAATGCATTATATATAATGGTGCAGCCATTTAATAGACAAGAAAAATATAAATCTTTAATAGATAGATCTAAATTTTTATAAGATTAATATGGAAATTATAAATACAGAAACGTATCAGACCTAAATAACTGAAGTTTAGGAACATTATTACCACAAACACTTATAAGATGATAGTAATTTAATACTCTGATAAAATTTACTGTATGTTATACTGTACTGCATACTCAGATATACTTAAGACATCACTTTCAGTAAATGTAGATTATCACAACAATACTCTAATATTAAATTTTAAATTTAACACAAATTTTTTCTTAGACACGAATTAGACCTCAAAGGTTTTGAAACCCATTGTGTCCATTATATAATTTAAGCAAATAAAACGTACAGTACATATTACAGTATACATCACTAACAGTAAGAAAATATTTAGTGGTCACTCCATCTCAGGACAGGGATTTGGAAATTAAAACTAATTATTTTTGTTGAACTTAAAGAAAACTAGAAGCGTCACTTAATTGATACAATTGTTAGCCTAAGTCTGCGTGCGAGCTCGTTCTGTTTGCTTAGACATAAATCAGTGGTTACCAGCACGAATGTCTAAACTAAGTCTTTCTGACTCGATCTTTTGTTACTATCAGCTGAAGTATTACAGACGTGATATGGCTGGTGAATGTTTGTCGAGTCATATAAAGGACCAATGTAGATGACTGCATTGAAAATCATAAGCTACAGTACTGTAAGAAAGGGAAATGAAATACCTGGATGTACTTACTGTTGTAATCGTGAAAGTAATCGTAATTACGATTACATTTTGATTGTAATCGATTACGATTACTTCAAAAACTGTAATCGATTATGATTACCCCATGTCTGGGGGGGGGGGGGTGTACAGCGAGTTAGTCAAGCCATATGAAAGACCTTTATGACCAGGTAAGAGATGGTGAGACGTGTTATAGCACTCCAGGGAGAGATAGTGAGGTATTAGTTCACCTTCATTGAGAGATAAACAATAGATAAAACGTGTCGAGTTCTCCAGTCCATGCTATGAAGAGGCCGTCCCGTTATCTCCGGCCCAAGTACCGGAGCTGGGAACCCACAACAGGTCTCTCTCTCTCTTTCTTTCTCTTTCTCTCTCTCTCTCTCTCTCTTTCTCTTTCTTTCTCTCTCTCTCTCTCTTTCTCTTTCTTTCTTTCTCTCTCTCTCTTTCTTTCTCTTTCTTTCTCTCTCTCTCTTTCTTTCTTTCTTTCTCTCTCTCTCTTTCTTTCACTTACTTAAATTAGCGATGTAGTTGGCGACGCTGGCGAAGGTCTCACAGTCGTCGAGGACAGCCAGGGTAGCGGTGTGTCCATCGGGGTCCCTGACGGCGCAGTACACGTGAGAATCCTCCCTGGGGAGACACCACGTTGTTCAGGTACAGTGATACATAGTTCAGATACAAGTATTTAAGCGCAGTTTAACAAATGGGTACAATTAGTGATAGCGAAAAATTAACAACAACAAAAGAACAATTACGTAGTGTTTTAAGTAAATGGTAAACACGTGTCAACTTACATCTCTCTCAGGGCGTCAGGGAACCAGTAGCACCTGTTACCTATTAGGAAGTAGGGCTCCGGGCACGTCTTGACCTCAGCCACCACCCCACCACAAGGCTCGGGGTGTTCCGCGTCAGGCTTGTGGCAGTGTTTTGTAGAATCGTCTGAAGGAATGGTGTATGACGGTAAACCAGGATATGAACGGTGATGATGATGTCCGTAATATCGAGGGTTCGTTAGATGTGAAACCCCCATCTAACGAACTACAGTATATAGAGATGAAAGTCCGTTAGATGTGAAAATCCCCGTCTAACGGATTATATGAAGAGAGGGAGAGAGAAGTCCGTTATAGGGAGGATTTCACTATACGGATACCACAATAGAATTTCTGTACCGGATATTCATGTTTGTCGATAAAGCTTTTTTTTAATTCTCAGTGTGATTATGTCTTGTCACTTTATTCTACAGTATTTACAGACCTTCTTCAGCAGACACCATGATCGCCAGCACCACCACCAGGAGAGCTACACCACACGTCTTCATCGTCGTCTTCACGTGACTGACTGACAGACAGATACTCAACTCTCTCACCAGTAGTGCTTCCTTACCTGCCTTACCTGTACACGGCTGCAAAGTTTCTCACAGAGTACAAAAATAAAAATAGTCCCCCCCCCCCACCCATCCCCTACCCCCACACCTCTCCCTCCCTCCCACTCCGTACTCCCCACCCTCCAGGCATCGCCCATTCCCCTTGGAGACAGTTGGTATTTTTATCTGCCCTGAGACGCTGAGAGCCGGCAGCCTGTTTATGTTGTCTTCTGTGTTAGCCAGAGAGTTGGTTTAGGTGTGTGACTGCAGGTATGTATGTAGGTATGTATGTTAAGTCAGTTTCCATCGTCCTGGGTTAATATATTACAATACCTGGGCGATGCTTTGTTGTTAAGAGTTGCGTGTGATCGTGCAGCTGACAAGGGTGAGGGAGGGAGCGGAGAGGGGAGGGGGAGACAATGGGAATGAGAAGAAGAGAGAGAGAGAGAGAGTGGAAGAGCGGAGAGAAGACATAAGGAAATGAGAACGGGAGAGGAAAAAGGAGTGAGTGGAGGAGAGAGTGGGAGGAGTAGAAGGAAAAAGAGGGAGAGGAAGAATAAAAAAGACAATTATGATATAAATGGAGTAGGTGAAAAAGTTATACAAGTTATTACCTGAAGAAGCCATTAAGCGGGTTTATGTGTCCTTGGCATTGTTTTATTTTCTCTATGGAAACATTTGTGACTTTCTTACATAGAATCATAATCTCTCTCTCTCTCTCTCTCTCTCTCTCTCTCTCTCTCTCTCTCTCTCTCACACACAAACAATAGAAGGATGACTCGTGGATTTGAACCTGTTGCCACCACCACCACCACTCATTCCAGCAGTCAGCCTCACGCCGTTCACCAAGCAACACAGTCTAACGGAGCAGTCAGTTTAAGGTGATAGTGTTATAGTTTTATATTTTGTCAGTGTTACTCTGGTACAGTGTTGACTAAATTCAGTATACAGAGTTAATGTTTCAGTGTTCCAGTCTTACAGTGCCAGGGAATTGTAGTATAAATCTAACTGTTCTGTGTCGTCGTCGTGTGTGTATAATACCTTTCTTTATCCGTCCAGGTAGACAATTAGCTTCAATACCTGTATCATCGGGCAACACAATGGACAAGTCCCCAATAACACTCACTGTCCGTGAAGAAGATAAAGACTCTCACTTATCAAAGAGCACCAATGATGACGCCTTGAAGGGTAAACTACTGCAGAAACTTTTGGACATTGTGAAACGAGAGGAACTCGTCCTGGGCATGAGCGAGGCCAAGAAGATGGTAGAGTTCAAGCACCCGGAAGACCTTAAGGTTAATGCACATACATGTTTCCATTTATCAGAATATTTTGAGGGTTGTAGAATAATAAGGACCCAGTTCAAATAGCTTTCAATCCACAGGAACCTAACCTAACTTAACCTAAACAGCATAGGGCATCATAAAATCTATCCTACATGTGATTCCCCTCCTTCAGAACATCCTGCAGCTGAACATCACTCGGGATGGGCTTAACCTGGAGGAGTCAAGCGAGCTCCTGGAGAAGATTGTCCGCTACAGCATCAAGACCCAACACCCTCATTTCCGTAAGCTCTTCTACCACGGCGTCGATGAGGTGGGCACGACAGCAGCCTGGCTCATGGAGGCCTTCAACACCAACCAGTGAGTGTAGTGTGGTACAAGGGGGTGAGGGCGTGAGACAGAAAGAGAGGAGGAGAAGGAGAGACAGAAAGAGAGAGAGAGAGAGAGAGAGAGAGAGAGAGAGAGAGACATATTGCCTTACTTGAGTGTGTCCTTATTATTGTGCGTGGCTTTGAGGCGCTGACCTGGCTCTGACAGTGAAAGTGGTGGGGGTGGTAATGGTTGTGATGATGATGATGGTGGTAGGGGCAGTCATGGTGGTGATGGTGATGGTTGTGGTAATGGTTGTGGTAATGGTTGTGATGATGATGATGGTGGTGGTAGGGGTAGTCATGGTGATGGTAAAAGTGGTGGTGGTTATGGTGGTGGTAATGGTTGTGATGACGATTGTAGTCGTGGTGGTACAGACTACTGGTACTGGTGGTTGTGGTGGTAGTCGTGGTAGTGGCTGTGATATTTTACCCATAGTACTTGTAGTTAACTGACTAACTAGGAACAACTGAAAAACTTATTGTATTTTGTTGATAAGCTAAGTAATGAGTGTGTGGTAAACTGAGATGTTATAATTCTAAAATTCTCTCTCTCTCTCTCTCTCTCTCTCTTCGTCAGGATCAACTACGACTTCGCGCCAGTGTTTACCTTAATGGAGACACACCTAGTTGGGGTAATGGCCAGGATGTTCGGCTGGCAGGAGGGAGACGGTATCTTCTGTCCTGGTGAGTGTGTGTTTTAGTTTTTGTTTTTTACGGGGATTAGCCCACCCGGGCACAGGTCACTGACCACATCGGGCCTGGGGGGCGAAAATGTAATAATAATAATAATTCATAATAAATAAAATTTATAATGAATACATTAATACAAAATTGAAAAATAAAAATAAAATAATAATGATATTACAACACTGTAATAATAACAATAATAATAATAATAAATACAAAAAAGAAAAAGAACTTTTGTGGACTATGTTGGAGAGGGTCAGTGTACCACCAAGATTTTGAAACATCCTCCGCCAGATGCATGACGGAATGCAAGCCCGGGTACTTGTGGGTGGTGTGCAGTCAGAACCATTTAGTGTCCAAATGGGCGTAAAACCGGGCTGTGTGCTGGCACCTGTGTTGTTTAACATATTTTTGCTGGCTGTAGCACAACTCACACACTGCCCTTGGGCCTGATGCAGGTGTGGGCATACGGTACCGTCTCGACGGTAGCCTTTATAATATTAGACGTCTGGAAGCCTAAACAAAGAACTTCACAACTCAGGTCATAGAACTACAGTATGCAGATGACTGTGCAATAATGACGCATAACAGAGAATCTATGCAACGTGCACTGACGTGATCTCAGGTATTTACAGCTCGCTTGGTTTGCAAATTAACACCCAGAAGACTGAAATTTTTGTCCAGCCCATTGTTCCACCAATAGAAGCACCACAAATCTACATTATTGGAGATCATATCACAATAGTAAACCAGTTTAAGTACCTTGGTAGCACTCTCACACCCACCTGCTCACTGGATATGGAAATTCAAACCAGAATCAATTTAGCCTCAGCTGCATTTGGACGTTTGAGAACAAGTCTTTCTCAACAATGACCTCAAATATGGAACAAAGACTGCAGTTTATCTAGCGGTCTGTATATCTACATTAGTATATGCCTCAGAAACCTGGACGCCCTACAGACGCCATATCCAAATGTTGGAAAACTTCCACACTAGCTGCCTTAAGCGTATCTTTGGAATATCCTGGGAAGACAGAGTGACTCGTGAAGAACTATATCGTCGCTCAAACACGACCAGCATTGAACCATACTAGCCAAAAGACACTTGCGCTGGCTTGGACATGTTATCAGGATGCCAGACCACCGGCATCCAAGACAAATGTTATATGGCAAGCTCTCACATGGAAACCGCTCGGCGGAAGGACCAAAAAAGAGATCTAAGGACCACTCTAAAACTCTTCATAAGTGCTGTAATATCCAACCAAATTCACTGGACCAACTAGCCTCAGACCGTTCCTTATGGCGCTCAACATGCCATAAAGGAGTGGAAACACTTGAGACCTCACTGAACCAAAAGAGGGCTACTAAACGAGCCCAACGACATCAGAGGGCTCAAGGCATAATTCCTTTCAATGAACAACATCCCCGTCACCTATGCAACAAGATCTGCTCCTCCAGGATTGGACTCCATAGTCATCTACGGTGGCATCAGAGGAATAACACATAACTCATCAATCATCTCATCTGGAGCAACGTTGTCATCGACTTCGGTGGACTGCCATAAGCTAAGTAAGCTAAGAGTGTGTGTGTGTGTTAGTAATTAACCGTCAAACCTTTCCTTTAAAACACATTATATACCAATAATTACAGGTACAATGACTGCCGACTAATTACAGGTGTTAATTACAGGTGGAAGCATCAGTAACCTGTGTGCCATGATGCTGGCGAGACACAACAAGAACCCAGACATCAAACAGTCCGGGATCTTCAATCTGAAGCCCTTGGTCGCCTTCACCTCTGACCAGGTGAGTTAGGTGGACTGCTACACCTACCTTTCACCTGACTCAACTTTGTTACATTTGTGTTATGTTATCTGTGTTGCTGCACACACACACACACAACCTGTACCACCCAAATCCTTGTGTTTATCCTACATCCTCGAGTCATCTGGGCCAGAGGTCTTCTCACGTCTCCAGTATCCTCGACAGGTTTACCATCTTCCCTCCCTCCCGCCAGAGTCACTACTCCATCAAGAAGGGCGGCAGCATACTCGGCCTGGGGATGGATAACGTGGTGCTGGTGCAGACGGACTCCTGGGGGAGGATGCTGCCTCGGGCACTGAAGGAGGCAGTGAAGGAAGCCAGGAGGAAAGGAGGAGACCCTTTCTTCGTCAACGCCACGGGCGGGAGTACCGTATTAGGGAGCTGTGACCCTCTCGGGGACATAGCTGATGTGTGCCAGGAGGAAGAACTGTGGCTGCACGTTGATGTGAGTCTGATCAGTATAGCTCTTTCCTCTTCCACCCATCCTTTTATCCGCGTATCTTAACATCCTTTTATCCGTCCGTCCAAACATAACTCCGTCTGTTTATCCATCTGCCCAAACATTCATCTGTCTATGCCACCTGAGAGGCTCTGAAACCACTGAAGAGATATGCACAAAGTTGATCCTCATTCATCGGCACTAATACTGTACTGACCTGTCATACATGTTAGTTAACTTAATATGTTTTGATGCTCACACCTACGTTGATTGCCACACCTGTGTCTTTATGCAGGCTTGTGTAGGGGGAGCTGCCATCTTCTCCAAGACTCACAAGATCATACTGAAGGGTATAGAGAGGTAAGACTAACAAGATATTTTACGTGAGTCTAAGTTTATTAACACTGTCCTGCTCTCGTCTCTGTCATCCTCGTGGTTATAGAAGTAAAAACTGTAAACAATTGATGAACAAGACAAATGTTTACGTCCAAGTCTTATTTTGGGTTGATTTAAAAGTCTTATGTTAGATATTGTTAAAAAGACTTACATTTCCTCTCTTTCCTCTTATGTGTTTATTTATCATTAGAGGGATCATCTGTTTCCTTTTCCTTATATCTTATTTAATGTTGTTTCTTCTATTGGTTTGTTTTATTCCATATACCTGTAGTAGCTGGAGTGTTTCTCTTTATTATTTTCTTCATTTTCTAAACTTTTTGAATGAATAATAATGAACCATTATATCTCCTAAACTCTAAAACATGTCACTAAATGACTCACCAGGGCACAGAACCATTTCCTTGTCATAAAGGTTAAAGGTTAAAGTTCAGGAATCATTTGCTTATTATCCAATATATTTTTTTCTAATGTTTCCCCCTTTTGCTCTTCTCTTCTCGTTTTCTATTGGGGAGACTGAGAAAAATGGTAATAAAGTCATTTGTTTAGTTTATAGATGAATCTTTTTATAAGTAAATATTTGCTTCTTAATCAGTTCTCGCATCTCTTCTCTCTCAGGGCAGACTCAATAGCTTGGAACGCCCACAAGATGATGTGTGTTCCTCTCCAGTGCGCCTTACTCCTCACCAGACACATGGTAACTGACTATTATTGTTGTTGTTATTATTATTACAGTATCATTATTATTATTAGTAGTAGTAGAAGTTGTAGTAATAATACAAATATTTAATTCTCTCTCTCTCTCTCTCTCTCTCTCTCTCTCTCTCTCAGGACCTGCTATATAAGTGTAACTCGGTCAAGTCTCGCTACCTCTACCAGCAAGACAAATTCTACGACGACAACTACGACCTGGGCGACAAGAGCATCCAGTGTGGGAGGAAACCAGACGCCCTCAAACTGTACCTAGCACTGTGTGTCTACGGCCTCGACCAGATGGAACAGCGGGTCGACGATGCATTCAAGGCTGCCAGGTGTGTGGGTGGTGAGGGGTGTGGATGTGGGTGGTAGGGGGTGGTGTGGGTGTGGGTAGAGGAGAGAGGTGACTGAGGGTTGGGTTAGAGGGAAAGGTTGGTGGTGTGGGTGGTGATGTAGGGGAGTGGTGGTGAGTGGTGCGAGGGAGTGGTGGTGAGTGGTGCGAGGGAGTGGTGGTGTAAGTAGAGGTAGTGGTGAGTGAGACTAAAAATAGCTTAGTTGATCTCCTAACCACCAACTCCCTCCCTCAGGTACCTTCAGGAGAGGATCGTAACTCGGCCTGGGTTCCGCCCCGTGATCTCAGATGAAGTGTTTTGCGTCAACACCTGTTTCTGGTACATCCCGCCCAGCCTCCGAGGACAACCCGAGACCCAAGAGTGGTGGGAGAAGCTGAGCAAGGTGAGTATCTCGTGTGGGCGAAGGTCTTTTGTATTAGTAAGGGTGAAGTGGGTATCTGCTGTAGGGGAAGAACTTTTTGTAATGTTTTCACCCTATTATCTCTTGAAACTAACTTATTTTTCTTTTCTTTTGTTCTCCTGAAGGTGGCGCCGAAAATCTTTGAGAGGATGATGACGAAGGGGACGTTGGTGGTGGTGTACCAACCAATCGTCAACAAGACTCTCGTGAACTTCTTCCGTGTCACCCCCACCACCGTTCCCACCCCGACCTTCAAGGACATAGATTACATTTTAGACGAGACTGAGAAACTAGGTGAGGATCTGTAGAACAAGTGTAGAGCAGAGAATAAACATCTACCATATCCCAGACCATAGCGAGTATCAACCACACTGACTTCCTGCTAAATTATATTGAGAGACTGAATGAGAATCTGTAGACGGAGAAAGATGGAGCGATGAAGCGAGAGGGGGAGGAGGAAGGGGAAGGAAGGAGGGATTAGGAAGAAGGAAGATAGACTCAACACCTCTTGTACATCATCAACACCACACTTCCCACACCAACTTCCAAACATATGTTCTTCCATCGTGACGAGAATAAGAAAGTGTGAGAAAGGAGAAAGATGTAGATGGTAGGGAGAAGGAATAAAATTGTTGAGAATGAGAAGTAATAATTAAGAAGAGGAGAGAGAGAGAGAGAGAGGGAGGGAGAGAGAAAATTAGCAAATGAAGAAAAAAAGAGAATGAAATAAAGACCCGCACACCGAGACTCATAGCGACAGACGGGACATTAATAAGGTCAATAAAACCCCAAAATATTACACCAATCTTAAATTTAACCTTACTCATGTGTATGACCATTGAGCATCGTTATATAAACCAGATGCTCAAAGGTCAGGTCTATTGACTGTCTTCCCCTAACTAACTGACTCACAGAAGCTTCGAGACCGAGTTGGTGGTGAAATAATATAACGTTGACACTTATTCTTAAGACTTTACTGTAAGTTCTGTTGACATGAATAAAAAGGAAATAACATGTGAAGTATTTGAGGATCTAACCCCTGGATGTGACTTATCCTGATGGGGGGCACAGTGCCGCTGATGGTGGTGAGTTCCTTGTTGATTATCCTTCAAGTGTGTGAGTTAAGTTCTTCAGTTCTTGGCATTGGATTTAATGTGAACGTCGCCTAGACTCCTGAAAGCTGTCATGTCATTGTTTTTGTTGAGACCTCTGGAGGCTGTCATGTCCTTGTCGTTATTATGTTACTCGAGGTTCCTGAAGGTTGTCATGACAGGTGCCTGGCAGATAACGCCGTACTCCTGATTGCATGCTCCATCAGCGAAGTACCCGTTCTCAGCGATGGTCAGGCAGTTCTCCATATTGCTTCCATCAGGTTGCTCCGGAAACCAGAAGGGAACGTCTCCCTGCACATGTGTTCCCGTCAACCACTGCCACGTTCCTTCCGAGTCTTTATCCGTGGCACCAATCCAGTAATTCATCCTCTTGTCTGAATGAGAGAATCAAAATTACAGGTTTTCTACTTGTTTTATGCATTTTACCAAGCAGCACTATGACTGAGTTTTTTTGGATTGTTTAAGTCCTACCAGCTAACACTCCAACAGCCAGACCCTGGTTACATGGCTAACAACTTCACAACTTAAATTGGAATCAGTTCGAAAGAATTAATCTCAACTGGATTCGAACCGGAGCCACTGAATACGTCATCTGGCAACTTGTTCCACTTCTCCACGTTCCGAAGTTCCATAAGGATCCTTTATACTTACCTGAGAAGCCTTTAGAGTTAGTGAAGATATAAATCGGTAAATACTTAGCCTTGGTTGCATGAGGAGGCGACCCTTCTTGGGCCTTGCTTAACGTTACATGTTCTAACTGAGGTGTACTGTACTGTTACTTACTTAATTTGTGAACTATGAAGTTCCAGAGGCTGTTCATCACCTCACAGTCTTCGATGACGGCCAGGTCAGTCGCAAAGCTCCCGTCATTAAGACCCTGGCAGTAGGCTCTTCCATCATCCCTACAACGTAAACACAAACTATATTTCGAGCATTTTCTCCACGCAGATGATTTTATGTGGGTCTAACAGCTCTCTGAATGCCAGCCTTCATTGATTCACTGGCTCATTCACTCACTCAATCACTCACTCACTTACTCGCTCACTCACTCACCCATTCACTCACCCATTCTGTTACTCATTCTCTCACTCATTAACTGATTGAATGACCGATCACTGAAAGACCGGTCAACTAACAGACAGACAGACTGATTCACTCACTCACTGATAAACCTCTTATTATTTATTGTATCAAAGGTATTGGACTAAACAGTAGTATATAGCCTACATAAAAAGGGTGTTTGTATTTTTTTATTAACTAATATCAGTTTATGTTACAAAAAATAACTCCTCCACTTGCATATTAAGAGCCAAGAAAACTCTGAAATATAATTATAATTCATCTCCATTTCCTGGTTCCTCTCCGCACCAACACAGGCGTCTTAGTGATAATACTAATAAAGGTAATAACTGTAATAATAATAATGATAAGAGTAATAATAATAATAAATTGTAGTAATGATAATAATCTCACCATGTCTTTGTCTGTGGGTTCACGTGGAGGCAGGCGGTGTTGCCGATCAATGTGAATAGGTCCGGACACCACACCACTGTAAACCAAGAACACAGTGAGTGAGTACCTCTCTCTCTCTCTCTCTCTCTCTCACCTAACCTACCCATAAAATAGTATATTGTTATAAAATCAGACGTCTGATCTCTGTAACGTAAAGTTAAACACGCGTTATAACCCTGAACACACTCAGTCTTCACTCCTAAGGGCAAGATGTTAAACCTCTCCAACTTTACACCTCCCACCTTACACCTCCAATTTGTCAGTATTAATCAGGACATGCCTAATACTGACGTCACTTTGGCTCCTGACATGACCAATAATCCTGTCAAGTTTCAAGGAAATATGTTAACTCCAAAGATTTTTTGTGGCTATATGAACGTTTGACCACGAACGATAACTCCCACGGTGCTGTAGGTCTTGGGGGACGCGTGTGGTGGTAGACTCTCATCCCAGACACTGAGGCGTCGTGTGGTACAGTACTGTAATAAGGGAGAGCCAATACCGCCTTGTCTTCCTCCTCCACGCTGTACTTATAGGATTATTGCCAAACTGGTTTTTATTTACGGTTGTGATCTTGTATGTTTATAATCCTTCCAAGTGAACCTCTTGGAGTTTGTTTTTATATCTAGATGTAAATTAACTTTCTGGAGAGGGACTTGAATTTTCAGAACTTCATGCGAAGTTTCTTATAGACGGACGGAGGTGATGCCATAATGCCGTGCTGCCCCAACAGTCGTTAGTTTAGCTTCAAAGAGAAAGCTAATCCTTCGGGGTTTGGAAAAAAAAATACCTTGTGCTGTGGCAAGACTACCCAACGCCAACAGCAGCAGGGCGGTCACCAGCGATGTGTTCCTCTCCATGTCTGATTATTGACTGACCGACACCACCAGCGACCCCTCCTATCTATACTCCTCTCCTGCCCCACACCATCAACCTCACCTTCCTGGAACTGTTATCAGAGGGTTACTGGCGATGCACTAACACATAAGACTTAGCAAATAATGAGTTATAAGAACAGGGGGACGTGTCTTCCTGTCTATATTTCTTAATTCAACCGTCGCAACTCAGACGTATGCCTCCTGTATAGTACCCGTGCCAGTGGTAACTCTTACATGTAAAACATGAAAAGTTGTTGGTAGATATTACTGTTGTGTGAGTCAAGCTGTTGACGTAAACTATGTGCAATGGTAATTGTAATATGCTTTTGTTGAAGACAGTGATGTACAAACACAGAAAGTCTTCACGGTTCTTGTCCGCTCAATGACAGACACACTCTAGCATAAACCTGCGTTAGTTCTGTGTGTTTACAGCAAGACGCTAGGCTGCTGCCCAGGATGGAGGCAAAAAAACGGGGAATTTCAAGAAAAATACAAATATGAAAACCCGCCATATAAGAATCACCATACATGATAATCCCTCATGATTAAAAACTAAATAAAGATGAATAGAAACATAACCTAACCTAACCGAACAGGCTGCAATTAGTACTTATCACCTGAGGAAGGGAAGCAGGTGTGTATAAGACCTCGGGCTGTGGGCGGTGTGAACCAATGCACTTGCACAGCCATATCTCTTGATAACCTCCACTAGACGCTCCACTGAAGGACACACACACCACGCACACCATGGGGCCCCGTGTGTGTGTGTGTCTGGGTGACTTTATCTACGGGGGAGGAAGAGGAGGGTATCGTGGTGAGGGGGAGAGAGGGGAAGATATCGTGTGGGGGAGGAAAGGAGGGTATCGTGTGAGGAAGAGGAGGGTATCGTGGTGAGGGGGAGGGGGGAAGTATCGTGGGGGGAGGAAGGGGGAGGAAGAGGAGGGTATCGTGTGAGGGGGAGGAAAAGAAGGGTATCGTGTAGGGGAGGAAGAGGAGGGTATCGTGAGGGGGAGGAAAAGAAGGGTATGTAGGAGAGGAGGGGAAGATATCGTGTGGGGGAGGAAAAGGAGGGTATCTTGTGAGGGGAGGAAGAGGAGGGTATCGTGGTGAGGGGAGGAAAAGGAGGGTATCTTGTGAGGGGGAGAAGAGGAGGGTATCGTGGTGAGGGGGAGGAGGGGGAAGATATCGTGTGGGGGAGGAAAAGAAGGGTATCGTGTGAGGGGAAGGAAGAGGAGGGTATCGTGGTGAGGAGAGGAGGGAAAGATATCGTGTGAGGGGGAGGAAGAGGAGGGTATCGTGTGGGGGAGGAAGAGGAGGGTATCGTGGGTGAGGGGGAGGAGAGGAGGGTATCGTGAGGAAGAGGAGGTGAGGGGAGGAAAAGGAGGGTATTCAGAGGGGGAGGAAGAGGAGGGTATCGTGTGAGGAAGAGGAAGGTATCGTGGTGAGGGGAGGAAAAGGAGGGTATCTTGTGAAGGGGAGGAAGAGGAGGGTATCGTGGTGAGGGGGAGGAGGGGAAGATATCGTGGGGGAGGAAAAGGAGGGTATCGTGAGGGGAAGGAAGAGGAGGGTAGTGTGGTGAGGGAGAGGAGGGGAAAGATATCGTGTGAGGGGAGGAGGAAGAGGGTATGTGAGGGGAGGAAAAGAAGGGTATCGTATGAGGGGGAGGAAGAGGAGGGTATCGTGGTGAGGAGAGGAGGGAAAGAGACGTGAGGGGAGGAAAAGGAGGGTATCGTGTAGGGGAGGAAGAGGAGGGTATCGTGGGGGAGGAAGAGAAGGGTATCGTGGGGGAGGAAGAGGAGGGTATCGTGTGGGGGAGGAAGAGGAGGTATCGTGGTGAGGGGAAGATATCGTGGGGAGGAAAGAAGGGTGGTGGGGGAGGAGGGGAAGATATCGTGGGGGAGGAAAAGGGAGGGTAGGAAAAGAAAGAGGGAGGAAAATGAGGTATCGTGTGAGGGAGAAGAAGAGGGTCGTGTGAGAGGGAGGAAGAGGAGGGTATCGTGGGGGGAGGAAGAGGAGGGTACGTGAGGGAGGAAGAAGAGGGTATCGTGAGAGGGAGGAAGAGGAGGGTATCGTGTGGGGAGGAAGAGGAGGGTACGTGTGAGAGGGAGGAAGAGGAGGGTATCGTGTGAGGGGAGGAAGAGGAGGGTATCGTGAGGGGAGGAAGAGGAGGGTATCGTGTAGGAAGAGGAGGGTATCGTGGGGGAGGAAGAGGAGGGTATCGTGTGAGGGGAGGAAGAAGAGGGTATCGTGAGAGGGAGGAAGAGGAGGGTATCGTGTGGATGATAGGAAGAGGGAGGGTATCGTGAGAGGGAGAAGAGGGTATCGTGTGAGAGGAAGAGGAGGGTATCGTGTGAGGGGAGGAAGAAGAGGGTATCGTGTGAGAGGGAGGAAGAGGAGGGTGTCGTGTGGGGGAGGAAGAGGAGGGTATCGTGTGAGGGGAGGAAGAAGAGGGTATCGTGTGAGAGGGAGGAAGAGGAGGGTATCGTGTGGGGGAGGAAGAGGAGGGTATCGTGTGAGAGGGGAGGAAGAGGAGGGTATCGTGTGAGGGGGAGGAAGAGGAGGGTATCGTGGGGAGGAAGAGGAGGGTATGTGTGAGGGAGGAAGAGGAGGGTATCGTGGGTATTGTGAGGAGAAAGAGGAGGGTATCGTGTGAGGGAGGAAGAGGAACGTGAAGGGGAGGAAGAGGAGGGTATCGTGTGAGGGGGAGGAAGAAATATCGTGTGAGGGGAGGAAGAGGAGGTATCGTGTGTGAGGAGGAAGAGGAGGGTATCGTGGTGAGGGGGAGGAGGGGGAAGATATCGTGTGGGGGGAGGAAAAGAAGGGTATCGTGTGAGGGGAAGGAAGAGGAGGGTATCGTGTGAGGGGGAAGAGGAGGGTATCGTGTGAGGGGGCGGGAGGGGAGGGGTAGGAAAAGTCTGAGGTCAGGTTAGGTTATGTGAGAGAAGACAATTGTTATTCATTGTTTTTATTCTGAATTATATAATGTCATATGAATTTCTGCCTCATGGCTTTCACCTAACCATCTGCACGCCGTATAGAACATCTGAATTTTCTAACACTCACTGAAACATATCTTAGGCGAAGGAATTTCACAACTATGTTTCCGAGATTTATTTAATCATTTATATACTAGGTAGAGCAGCTAACAACCACACTGCTACTGTAGGTAGTTGGTCAGAGAAGTCGTTCTTCCTACAGCAACTGGCAGATAAATTTTTGGTGCAGTGAGCCATCCTCGTCGGCAAAGTATCCCGTCTTGGAGAGGGAGAGGCAGTTCTCTTGTCTACCCCCGTCAGGTTGACCGGGGTACCAGTAGGGCACCTCGTTAAGGACGGGATCTCCTGTGGCCTCCCACCTGTAAACACCCTCTTGGTCGTCATCTCTGCCTCCGATCCAGTAGTCCACTATCGGTTCTACAAGACCAGATGGAATAAGATATTGATGAGTGAAGGAAATTATTAGGGTGAGTTATGTGTTCATCGTGGAGTCTCCCTGTCATAAGGAAGTTTGTCGTTAAAATGTTATTACTGCGGTACAATAACTAAGGTGTTGTACCCTAAGGAAACCTCTCATGGTTGGTAGTGAGGGTCACACTGGATAACACCCTTCCCACATTCGTCCCGGGTCGTGGAGTGAGCCCAGGGCACAAATAAGAGATGCGCGTCTTACCACTGACACCCCTACGCTGTACTGTGCCTCTGTTTGGTCTTCTGTACGTATTCACCACGTGATCGTCCAAGTGTACTCACCGTGAGCTAGTATGTAATCCCACAGTGAGGCCAGCTGGCCACATTTGTCCACGTGGGCTAAGTCAGCATTAGTTCCATCCGGCGCGGTACTTGTGCAGTAGTCCTGGGCATTCTGCCTGTTGATAATGACAAGTAAAGTCACCAATAATAATAATAATAGAGTTTTTCAACCTATATCATTGTTTATTATTATTATTATTATTATTATTATTATTATTATTATTATTATATTTCTTAACATTACTGATATTAATAATAGGAGCAGCAAAAGTAGACTTGGTAACATTATCATCATTAATGTTAGTAGTAGTAGTATCACCAACAGTACAACAGACACACCTACCAAGTCATCTTCGTATCCGGAAACAGGTAACAGGATGTACCAACGGCTACATAATCTTGAGGGCAATCTATTAACAGAAATACCGTTAGTTGAGGTGAAAAATGGACATGGTAATCGATTAACAGATAGAGAAAGGGTGGGGACTGAGGGAGGAACGGGGGTGGTAAAGTGAGAGGACATAAGAGAGAGAGAGAGAGAGAGAGATTTAGTCAACCTTGTTTTAGTTCTCTTGTTGGCCATGAGAGGGCACGACTGTATACTAAGCTGAAGTGTTGAGTTAGTTAGCTGTATCTGTGTTTTTAACTGTACCTGTATTGGTGTTTTATAATTGCCAAAGTGAAAATGGAGTGAAATACAGTAATTGTGCCAGATAATATCCACAAAGGAGAATATACTGTAATTTCCGTACAGTTTCAGTGCAATTTGGACGCCATTTCGGTACAGTATCCACCTTTCACCTGTAGCTGGAACTTGACTAATGAGATATTTTGTGAAATTTTCAGTTAAGTCGCATGACAGAAGTTATTATTTTTTTTGTGATATTTACTTACACGGTGGCGAATATGATAAGTACAATAAGGTGGAGTACATTACTTTTTTGTGAAAGAAATAATAATTATACGCTGGTATAACTTACGTATGTAGTGGGATTATAGCAAATGTGTCAAGAATTTACGTACTATCAGCCAGGACCACTGAGAAGAGAGCAGCGACGAGCACTACCACCACCTTCATTGTTATGAATCACACTGTCCCCTAGACGCCTTCACTGGAGCTACTTATACCCTCGCCTTCCCTCCCCACCAGATGACTCCTTCCCTCTAAAAGACTTTACGAGCTTGAGGGACAGTTCTCCATTCAGATGCTTTAACTTGTAAATACTGATGAAAAGAGATGTGAAAGTATCATCTAATAGATAAGAACGACTGATGAATTTTTAAAGGTTTGTGAGGTGTGTGTGTGTGTGTGTGTGTGTAGATAATAATGAACTGCTGTAAGTCATTGTTAGGAGGCACTGTGTTTGTTAATGTTTGTTGATGTTATTTTAAGCTGTAGAACTTTATAATTCTAAGAAAATATGGAATCAGGATGAGTTATTAGTGAGCTGTTATCTGTAAGGTCTTGTGCACTTTATGTGATTTGTGTTTTGTTTTGTTTTTGTTACTATGTTTAATTTGTGGTACGCACGTGACATGCGATAACTTTCTCAAATTACAAAAAATCTCTGAGAGTTTGGAAGACGTTGGAGAGAGAGAGAGAGAGAGAGAGCATAAGGGTGATGGGGTAAGGATCTTCCACCCCTTTTCTGCCTGGTGTTTGTGGGAACTGTCAATTCCTGGTACTGCGTGTGTGTGTGCAGAGAGTCGTGGGAACACTTACACTTGGTTGGTGGTACTGGAGGTCGTATCCAACTCCGGAATCAACCCTTCCACCTCACCTGAGCATTCATCCATACCTGTATTGTACGCCTCTCTCTCACTCCGTTTCTCCTCTCTCTACTACCCATCTCACCATCTCCTTTCCCCAATCCTCAACAAGTTCTTCTTAGTTTATCACTCACCAATCGCCATCTGATCTCATAAAAAACTTCCTCTTTAACATCCTCTTCTCCTTCTTTCCTCCTACGTCCTCTCATAACCTTACTCCCACCTTCACAACACTTTTAGAGCCTTCCTCCACATCTCCTAGGCCTCCCCATCCACCCTACCCCATAGCTCTTCCCCAGTCTTACCCCTCCCCCTTCCCCAGTCTTACCCCTCCCCCCTCCCCAACTTTCATACCACCTACCCAACCCTTATCTCTCCCGTGCTGCAAAAATACTCCCCCCTCCCTCCCCCTCTTTCACTCGCTCTTCCATGTAAGATAAGGAGTTATAGAGGAGTATTTTGAGATAAATAACTTGCATTACTCCACCCCACAGGTGACTTCTTCTGAGAATTATCACTTAGTACCATTTTTACCCAGAGATGCAAGCTACAGACAGCAAACTGGTACCCAAAACCATCGATTTTGACTGATTTATAAACTGTCTACGTTGGTTGGGTGTCACGTGTCACAAACATAGAACGATTAGTTATTTTGTCCTCATTTCAGTCAGTATACTTGGTAAGAAGGTGAGTCTATTGTCAGTTATTGTCATACATTTATTTTTATTTTCTAGGACAGGAACCTCAACCAGTTCTCGGTATTTAGATATCATTCATTTCTGAGAACACCTAGATGTGTTTAGTAACAATTACCTTCCTTTTGAATGTTATTACCAATGAACTATCCATGTAAGGTAAGTTTGGAATCATGTCGAATTTAGTTATATTTAGTTACATTATACTCTAACATTAACCTCTATATTATTGACCTCAAATCAGCCTTTGTAGAGATTATACTGCTTATTGTTATTCCTTAATTTGCTTTTAGTGTCTGAATTTTTTTGTTGTGGCGAGAGTCTTATAACACCGCCAACGTATCAGCTCTTGGTTCTGCCTCGAGACATCGCCTGCTACCCTGGGACGTGTACCATCTGGAGTGTTGTAACCATGGAGTCTCATATCACCGCCCACATCACTTACCCACGGCAGAGTAACTATGGGTGAGTCTTTATTTACAACTGTTTGAATATATATTATACTATGTTGTGTTTAGATCAATAAAGGCAACAACAAAAAGTCGAAAAATATAGAAATTCCTAAAATACTTTATATATAAGCCGTATATTATTAAAAGTTTCTTACATATGTACGCTAAATTGTTTGTCAACTTAGAGGTTAGACGAGATGAAATCGCTTCATTGTTCGTATGCAGTTAATGTTGAAGGTTAAAAGGGCTTAGATTAAGTTAGTTTTGGTAGATAATTAGGATTTTTGTACAGTACAAGCATTAGGTTATTTTTAGAGTGAGTCCAGCTTGATATTGTTTAGTGTGTGAGTGTGTGTGTGTGTGAGTGTGTGTGTGTATGTATGTGTGTGTGTAATAATAAAAAATAATAATAATAATAATTAACGGTTTATTGAAAGAGCTTGGCAGCCAAAAGGCTGAAAATATACAGTTACATATTTGGGGAATGGGTTTCGAATTATAAATAATATACAAGTAACATAAGTGATACAAATAAGATATATAATAACTAGATGGGGAAAAGCTCAAACTACAGTGCATTTCAACATAGTGACAGTGCAAGAAGTAGTATTTACTGGGAGTGAATACACTGGTTTATTACAAGTTATTGATTATTTTTACAATGGTTGGGACTGGGCTGTTCTTATAGCGATCAGTTCGTGCACGTATGGGCTGGATGCGGTTGTGGTGTCGAACAGCAATGCTCGGGCTAGGGATCTCAGGTGGTAGTAGGAGCCGGTGTCGAGGATGGTGTAGAAGCTTCTTACCAAATTTGCAGATGAGGTCGTGGTGATGGTCAGTGAGAGTCGAAAGGGTCAGTGTGTTGAGCGCTTCTTGATATGTGGTATAGGAAGGGGAGAGAATAATCTTGCATGCCCTCTTTTGCACTTTTTCTAGGTGTTTACGTTGTGTGGCATTTAGGGAGGAAGACCAGGTGGGGGAGGCATAGGTGAGCTTGGGAAGTATGAATGTTGTGTAAACACTGAGGAGTTCGGTTGCAGGAACTCCGAGGGACTTGAGTCGGCGGAGGAGGTGGAGACGGAAACTGGAGGATTTGACAACTTCACTGACGTGTGGTTTCCAATTTAGTTTGTTGTCTATGGTGACGCCGAGGAGCTTCGTGGAATCTACAACCTGGAGTGTGTTCGGACCTAAAGTAATGGAAGGAGGTGGGACAATGTCGGAGGAGAGGTTGATGTGCATAACCATGGTCTTGGTATGGTTGATGGTGACATGGTTGTTGGTGGCCCAGTTTTGGAGACTGTTCAATAAATCCTGAAGGGCGGTATAGTTGGGAGCAGAATTGTTGACGCTGATCCCAATGGTGGAGTCGTCGACATATTTCCAGCGAGCAGGGGTTTCTCTTAGGGCATCATTGATGAGCATAAGGAAGCAGAGAGAGTGTGTGTGTGTGTGTTTATATTACTTATTATAGTATCAGTAGCTCTATAAATATCGATTCTACTTAATTTTCAACCATTTTAATTTATTACTTCACCAGTTATCAGTTAAATACCAGTCAGTTAGTCTGTTCTTTATTAATGTGTTAAGACCTTTATTGTCCAGTGTTATTAGAGGAGGGAGGTGTAGTACCCTGAGGAAACCTGTCATGTTCAGTAGTGAGGGTCGCACTGGATAAAACCCTCCCCACGTGTGTCCGGGCCAGAACTCGAACGCCTGACATCAAGAAGAGATTCGCTCGTTACAGCTGTATTGTAAATAATGATTGTTTTTGTGCTTGTCAATTGACTTCTTCTTTATATAAATTTAGATATTTTATTAGTATGTAGACTTTGGTAGTGTTTCAATTGTATCGATGTACAGATAAATATCATAACACCTCGACCGGACTGCGACATATTCAAGTAAAATTTTCTATTGTTATCCCTGTCAACAAATTTCATTATAGAAAATGTTAAGGATGAACTATACCAAACTGAAATTTCATCAACAAATAATTATAGAGGGTGAGAGTGAAGCAGGCCTCACCTCTAAACGTGTATTTGTGGCAGGTTTCATCTTAGCTGGTGTTTATATATATATCTGTTATATGTATTGAAGGCGTCATATATATATATAGCTCTGTTATATGTATTGAAGGCGTCATATATATATAGCTCTGTTATATGTATTGAAGGCGTCATATATATATAGCTCTGTTATATGTACTGAAGGCGTCAGATATATATAGCTCTGTTATATGTATTGAAGGCGTCATATATATATAGCTCTGTTATATGTACTGAAGGTGTCAGATATATATAGCTCTGTTATATGTATTGAAGGCGTCATATATATATAGCTCTGTTATATGTACTGAAGGTGTCATATATATATAGCTCTGTTATATGTACTGAAGGTGTCAGATATATATAGCTCTGTTATATGTATTGAAGGCGTCATATATATATAGCTCTGTTATATGTATTGAAGGCGTCATATATATATAGCTCTGTTATATGTACTGAAGGCGTCAGATATATATAGCTCTGTTATATGTATTGAAGGCGTCATATATATATAGCTCTGTTATATGTACTGAAGGTGTCAGATATATATAGCTCTGTTATATGTATTGAAGGTGTCATATATATATAGCTCTGTTATATGTATTGAAGGTGTCATATATATATAGCTCTGTTATATGTATTGAAGGCGTCATATATATATAGCTCTGTTATATGTACTGAAGGTGTCAGATATATATAGCTCTGTTATATGTATTGAAGGTGTCCTATATATATAGCTCTGTTATATGTATTGAAGGCGTCAGATATATATAGCTCTGTTATATGTATTGAAGGTGTCATATATATATATAGCTCTGTTATATATATTGAAGGCGTCAGATATATATAGCTCTGTTATATGTACTGAAGGTGTCAGATCCTTGACTTCATAAAATAGGTAAATATAACAAAAATAAGATATTTATTTGATGTGGACGTACTGGACCAAGTTGTGCTGTACGGCAATTAAGTTACACAATATTTTTGTCCAGAATTTAAAACGATTGGACAGTGAACACAAGGCTAAATATAGACGGACCACTCTTCATGTAGTGTTATGGTTCAGTAATATCACATAAGTACTGACATATTCTTTATTCGTGCCAATGCTATAATTTTAACATACTTGAATAATATGAAATACTACTAAGCTAATATTATAAATCAATTGGAAACGTCGTATGTGTTGCTGCTACAGTGAGTGTGCACTTTAAAGAAATGTAATTGTGATTTCCAGATGTGAAACAATGAATGATGGACCAGCTTACAGTGTCTCACTCACCACGAACACTGAAGGGAGAAACAAGACAGAACCAAAAGAGGTATTACAGGTTAACGATCTCGCCTCGGCTGTAGTGTGTGACGTAACAGAACTCGACGAGGACCTGACCATAGCTTTGTGACCTTCACCTCACCTGAAGGAGAACAACAGTCTACAAGGACTTCAGCTTCTCCTTCACCAACTTACTCTCCTTCTTCATACACAGAGCCATTCCCCCAACGTTCATACAATCAGTGTAGGTCTTGAAGGCCAACAGGCCCTTTATCACTGGGTCGTAGGGCTCCTTTAAGCCAAAGTTCGACATGGGGATATCAAGGCTGCGACATTCTTCGGATTTCTCCAGCAAGCCGGCGCGAAGTTCAGGATCAGTGATGAACTCGGCAATCCAGTCCTCTACCACCTCGTAATCCATCTGAGAAGTTTCTGGGTTCAGCTGAAAATCATAAGTGTGTGTAAGTGAAGATTATTTCAGGTGATAGTAGAGTCATCATTACATGGTGGAGTGACTTAGTAACACGTCCAACCTACCAGACCCGTCACAGATATTTTCCTTAGCTTGACTGGCACTTACCACCGGGTCTCGCCTCTAACTCTGACGATCACTTGTATCTACACTGTCCCGAAGAGGTCGACAGGCCTACGGGGCCCACTTACCCTAACTTTAGCAACATTTACCAGTTTATAAACAACATTAACCATCCTTCAGTGACTTTATCCATAGCTTCAGGAACACTTACCAATTTGAGGCCTCTGAGGTTACACTCGAGCAGACTGTCAGTGGGGGATACGGGCATCTTGAGGATGTTCTGGAATATAAAGGAATTGCTGTTTTTACTGTGCATCAATAACAACTTCCTCGTGAACGCAAATAATTATCATCATCATCATTACTAATATTATTATTATGTACTGTACCTGTACTGTACCCGGGCTTGTATCTGTATTGGTCATTCTGCATATTATTGTTCTGGTCTGAATATTTCTTGACTACATATTCCTGTATTTTGTAACTAACAGTGTGTGTGTGTGTGTGTGTACCACCAGGGTCAGTATTTTATGACAGACACACCTACTAACCCGTTTTTTCCTCCTCTGTTGTGCTTGAGGTGCTGACCAGCCGTACCATTGATCCTGAAACCCAACACAGAGACAGTTAATTCCCTTACACCTGTAGTTAACTTCCTAATACAGTTCATAATATATGTTTATCCTTACTTAAGCGACATTTAATCATTCCTCATATCAAACGTCCTATTACATTAGCATTTTCTTACATTTAACTTCATATAATTTAGCATTCATCATATTTAACCTATGTCGTCCTTTATCTTAGTTATATAACATAATAAAGTATCTAGAATCGATAAGCAGTACACCTGTCACCTGCGTCACCTGTGAAAGTTAATTATATTGTTACCTGAGTATTGTAGCTCGCCACCCCCCTTCCCTACGCTGTTCTGACTCACCCATTGCTCCATCCAGCACTTCAGACCGACCTCCCGTCCGATATTCTCCAGGAACACGGCGACGTCCGGGCCGTAGCAAGTCTTAGCCACCTGGAACAGAAGCATATTGTCCATCACACAGAGACCTGGCGGAGGAATGGTTGTGAGGCGGCAGTACTGTATCTGGTAAGTGCATTATTATTATACCGTCTCACACTTTGTAAACTGTTTATTTCTTAATGATAAGATATTTTTCCTCCTCTCTAGGCCACTGGATTTTTTTTAATGTACATACAGTGAAACTTTTATATAACGGACTTCTCTCGCCATATAGTTCGTTAAATAGAGGTTTCACTGTATAAGTTATTAACAATGTTTCACCTTTGGAGTTTATAAGAAAGAAAAATAGAGACGCCAGAACTCACGAGATAATCAACATAGTCGCTGGAGGAGGGCCAGAAGCCCCCTCTGACGTGGACCGGCAGGAAGCACGCCGCCCACACCACCACCAGCAGGGTCGTCTTCACCATCATCTTCGGTGGTACTGTCTTTATCTGTCTAGTTTACAATAATATGTAATTGTCTGTCACAACTGCCTTCGTCTGTCTCTCAGAATTATTGCACTACTTAAAATTATTAACAGATTTTTCATCTTTTACTCACACGTCATATACATACATCCTCACAACGTGTTAAAATAATATAAAGCATTTGCCCTTAAAAATACAAACAAAAACGTACTCATATATATATACTGTATATATATATATATATATATATATATATATATATATATATATATATATATATATATATATACCCACTTCACAAAACTTCAAAGACTTGTATTTTCTTGGATATCATAAAACAACAAGTTATCCCCTCAAAACAGGAAGCGGTTACCTTGATAGTTACACAGGAGTGATCTCTGAGCTCCTCCCTACACTCTGGAGTGCTGGTGACTGGCGGGCTTTTAAACATGTCAGCCCTCTGTCACGACTCAGACCTGCCTCAGTTGCCAGGTATGTGGTGTCAACTCGTTACCTTTTATATATACCGTCTCCCAAATTATATAAAGTATACCAAGTACGAGGTGTGTGGAATGAGTGTCTGTTAGTTAGTTAATGACAGCCATGAAAATTGTACGACTTTGAATAACTATGAATAGCCAATGAAAACATAGTTTAATGGGTTTGGTTAAGGTTAGGTTAGGTTTTCTATGATAACTTATATATACAATATACTTATAGTTATCTACTAATCATGTATAGCCCGACAAAAGTGCCCCCCCCCCATAAAAAATTATCGCTATTAGAAAATTATCCCTATTTAATGTAATATATATATATATATATATATATATATATATATATATATATATATATATATATATATATATATATTAAATGCGTCGCAACTCCATTCACGGTTCAATTTTAATTTATATTTACTGAACACCACCAGACACCTCACACCGTCCCCGTCACCACCCCAGAACGTCCAAATTTTACCTACAACTCACACACCATAAAAGACAAACACACGTACACCGTTCTTATCCTTTCCTCACTTATTCTTGTTTAATAAATCGTTAAAATTCTGTCAAATATAGGAAAAAAAATTGTCTATAGTTGTAATATTCCTTTTAAGATCGATAAGGTTGATTCATTGATAACTTTGGTGTCTCAGTGTTAGTATTGGACGGACACGTAGACTAAACCATGTGTAAAATGGCTTAAATATATATCTATCTATTTATCTATCTTTCTATCTATCTATCTATCTATCTATCTGTCTGTCTGTCTATATATCTATCTATCTATTTATCTGCCTATCTATCCCTGTCTGTCTCTTTCTAATTTACGTCCCTGGAAAGTAGTAAGTAGTAGGCAGCTACCAAACAGGGAGGTACTACCGCCTGGGAAGATATTGGAAGCATAATGTGTTGTCTAATGGTAGACCCTGCTGCTATATGGTATCACAAAAATTGTGACCAAATCCCAGGTTGCTGATCTGACTTTCTGCCCCATTTGCACACAATTTGCAGGTCTCAATTGTTTCTCACTTTTGATCTTTCTTTTTTTCTTTATTATTATTATTATTATTATTATTATTATTATTATTATTATTATTTTATCATTATTAATTTATTATTTAATTTTAAATTTTGTTTTTGTTTTACAAATTTTAATTACTATGAATTATTATTAGAATTATTACATTTTTCGCTCCCCGGGCCTCGATGTGGGTCAGTGAGCTGTGCCTGGGAATAAACCCCCCTGCCCCCGGGGAAAAAAATCTTTTCTGATGCGTGGAGGGGCGGGGAAGAACCTCCGAATGGCTGGGTGATAAAAATGGGTAGCGTTAAGTCATCAAGTCCAGGATGTTCCGACCTTCACTCTGGTGTTCAAATATTATTCATGTGAGTCATTACTGCACATATGAATAAATATGAATAACCATGTGTGTACTGAGATCCACAAATGTATAAAGATATTGATAATGATATTAATATTGACATTGAAACAGTTTATTTAGCCAGAAAAATGCAGATAGAGAGTGGATAATAACAATATTAACATGGATGAGCCAGTTGAGAGCCTGAGCTCTCTTGTGGGCACCTGATAATTATATACTATACATTTATCTCAAGGATTTAGGCTTCACACACACACACACACACACACACGCACACACACACACACACAAGGCTTTCATTCACTGTAAAGTTGTAGACTCAAAATCTTAAATGTTTGATACATATTCTTAATGTGTGGGAAAAAAAATCAAGAAATTTACACGTAAAGTAAGGACACGTTTTAAATTGTTTAGTATCTTATGTAATGTATCGTAATTCCAAACTCATTCAGGAAGGCAAGAATCATGACACAAGATGAGCAACTTTGATTGGTGGAAACTTGACAGATCAAAGGCCGGTTATTAATTACTAATGATAACTTAATTGTGAAAGTCTAAACCAGCAGACGTAAATAAATAAATAAATAAATAAATAATTGATATTAGATATACAAATTAAAAGAAAACAGAGTAAAGGGAAGAATAAGGTGCGTGATGAAGATAGAGAACAAAACTGTGTTGATTAATAGTGAAATGAAAACAATAACGGATTTAAAACTAAAATTTACGGAAATATCTTACCTCGTCTGAACTGTACAGTATATATGTATGTGTCCCCCAGACTCTTAGATATGCGTCAACAATCTCACCCCTTAATAAAACCACAAAATATCGGTTATAGTGTAAATTTAAGGTGTAATGTCCACGTAGACAAAAATAGTTAGTTTGGCTTCAAATTTTGACCATATTGCTTACTGAAATCTATCCTTAGAAACACACACACACACACACACAGTGACTCACACAAACCGTACCTAAAACTAAGACATGCGTAATAGCCTTGCTTCACTGATCACCTGTATAGTCTAGATCCCTTAACGACAGGTGCAGGGAAGGAAAGACAGGGGGAAGATATAGGGATGGGGAGATCAATTTTTAATCAGTAAAATCGTTTTATTACTTCATTGTGTTTGAGCTTGTAGTGCAGGTATACAATGTGTAGCTTACAGGTGATGGTAAACAGACGTTGATTTGACCACACACACACAAATAGTGTTTATAACCTTCAGAGAATTGGTCGCCTGAGGAGCTCATCATCTTATCCCGGCTCCAGTGTTATGGTAGATGCCACGTGTATCCGGGCTTATCGTGTCCTCATTAGTCCTTATTGCCACAAACGCTAATTGGTTCCTTACCTACTATAATGCCATCTCAGGTCCCATTTATGAATCTCTTTCTACCACTTAAGTTATTCCTCTAACGTTACGTGTAATGAAGATCAAATTTAGTCTTTGCTAAATTTCAGCCATCGTAACAGACATGCACAGACGGACGCGGAAGTTCGCTTGGGGGAGCGACTATTATATGCACTGCCTGAAGCCTTGGGAGATCAGGGGAACTAAATACCTGTGTACCGCGTAGCTGATCACTCCGTGACAACGACACCACAACAAATTGCTTCATTCGTGGAAGCAGTTTCCGGTGTGACCAGTGAGTTATGAAAGATATACTGTAAGTGAAGACACGTAAGTCACACCAGAACTTCTTAAAATTTTAGAACTGCGACATAGACTAGCTATGTTTTGGCGGCACGCCGCAGGCAGCCAACTGGCCGCTTGAAAGCTCAGGCCTGATCAATGATTTAACCAACCAAGGATAATAATAATAATAATAATAATAATAATAATAATAATAATAATAATAATAATAATAATAATAATAATAATAATAATAATAATAATAATAATAATATTAATAACCATATATATAAGAACATTAAAAAAATCAAGAGTGAAAAATGATAATACAGTATGTATGTTGTGTTGTCAAATAGTAAGAAAAACAATTGAGACCCTGCAATTGTGTGTAAATAAGACAGAAAGTCAGGTCAGCAACCTGGGACTTGGTCACAATTCTTGTGATGCCATATGGCAGCAGAGTCTACCATAGACAACACATTATAATGAGACCATAGATAAAATGGACTGTTGAATCTTGAAGTTTCTTAGATGTACGTGTGTTTGTAATTATTTTGAGCTGCTGTAAATAAAAAATGGAATGGAATGCCTTTGTCTACTAACAGTAGGTTTTTAGATGCTGGAAGTCATAGTTAGAAAGGGATATAGGTTAGTTTTCTGTTGTTATTTTTTAAACTGCTGCAAGTTGTAGCTGGGAGAAAATGTGGATTTGGGTATTTATCTTCTATTCCATAACAGCTGTTGAAGGGAGAACAATAGAATAAGGTCAACTAAATTCTTCTTGTGTTTGAAACGGCTTTGTTCTTAGTATGGTGATAGTGGAAGCATGCCAGGACCTGGAGTTTCAAAGACGAAAACCCGTATCTATAAAGTTGATTCTTAATATCGGATTCCAACCAAAAGTAACTTCACCTTGGCTAATTCTCTTCGTCACTGATCGGCTCGCTAGGTCGGTCACGTCTGTTACACATTGTTGGCAAATAGTGGGCATCTACTGGTTCCAGAATTTATCTGTACCTGCACCTGTGTTGGTCAAGTTCTTTCGACTTCAAGGGTTGTTCTCATGTTTCCACGTTTGATAACTTTATATTATATGTTTAGTATTATGTATGGCTTGATGTGTCACGTCATACTAATGTACGCCCAATGATTTTTATAACAATATACTGAAGTGTCACATGCAAATCAAGTTCACATAGATAGTATGTTTAATAGTGTCGTCGAGTAAGCTGGAGACTATAGAGACCTGACAAAGTACATACACCACACAGACACTCCCGTCTCGACATGTGAGTTCTGAACCTCCGGCCCGTCACCCTCACAGCGTCTGGGACTGGGAGTGCGTCAGTCAGCTCGGCGCTACAGTCAGGAGAGGTTATCATCGGCAGGTCCTTGGCGCACTCTCAGTTCTACACATAGCCAGAGGTGAGAAGAAGAAAAATAGTTGCAATCCCCCCACCTTTCACTGAAGAACCTGCTGGTAGGAGTCGTTTCATAAAGCAGTAGTTTTAAACAGGCGAGGGTAGGGTTGGTAAGTTGCTCCATCGCTGATGACAGGTATAGATAGTGTACCGGGAGGTGCATTGGTTTACAAACACTGACGCGAATACGCGATACTTAAAATTGTATTGAACATGAATTACTACACCTGTCAACAGTGAGGACAAGTCCTATTACTTCAAGAGAACGGAAGTTACTTATACAATTGATTAGCGATGAGTGTGTGTGTGTGTGTGTTCTTCTCGCAAGTGAGTGGTCCTGGGCTCTGTATCCCTGGGCAGGGTGAAACTATGAGCAAGTTCCTTTATGCCATTTGCTTCCATCTACTCAGCAGTAATTAGGAACCTAAAAATTAATTGATATGCATAGTGTGTTCTGGGCTCAATCAGTACGGTCTTCCCGGGTTATTCTTGACACTGGTTAATACAGCTCATTAACCCAGGGCGTGACAACTTCTACACCTTAAGCAAATTTATGCCTAGGTGGCTTTAGGGCCGGCCAACCTCAAATACGAGAGGCAACCATTAACCCTTTCACCACGTGTCACGCACTTGCCATTTTATAATGGCTACCGCCAGGACATTTTCTGGCTACTGCCAGACGATTTTATTCAGCTTAGGGTAACCTGCTGTGATAGGGTTAAAGTATCTGTGTGTGTTTTTTGTATATATACCTGTATTGTAAGTAGGTGTTATGGACGTACATATAGGTATGTATATGTGGCATTCTATTTGTTTGATTATGCCTTGGCATTAATATTATCCACATCTTTCCATTCACAGACTTAAACAGTCCACCACCAACTACAACATGTTGATCGCGTTGCTTCTGGCAGGAGCAGCCATCTGCCTGCCTATCCACGGCCTTGACCTCTGGACCACTGAGGACGACTATCTAGACTTTGCTGTAATAACTTATCATTAGTACTATATTAATACTGAGGCACCTCTAAAGTCGATAGCCTCATCAGTTGTAGTGTTAATATGATTAGATTCATTTAACTCAACAATTACTCTGCCATTTTCACTGGCAATCATTAGGTGTTGTCGGCAAAAACAGTATTTTTGTTTTACTTCAACTTATTGAAATGTAAAGATATGAAACGCCAAATAATTTGAAAAACCTTACATTGATGGCTTGTGATCGTGTTGTAAACCTTGTGGTTTTGGCCAAATTTTAAAATTGATGCTTCATAAGCATTCCATTGGTCTTTCTAATGCTTAAGATTAAATTATTTCAAATAATAATCATAACATCACTGTTTAAAATATTTTGTACCATTCTCAGTGTTTTGTGCTCTGAATAATGATTTACCGATGTTTTACTGTATTATAGATCAAATTATAATTTTTTGGTACTCTAGCATGATGGAGATATAGGTACAGCTATGTTCCATGTTGAACAATGAAGGATTTTAGGGTCCATGGTGAAGAAGTACAGTATGTTTATCTCTCACACTCGTATGTCCTTGTAATTTTGTTTAATTATATATACTACTGTACAGTACTGTATATTTTAGGCGATGAAGAGTTGCCTCGGGTTTGACACAGCTGTGAGGCTGGAGAAGAAAACATATGACATTGCAGTTATTTGTGAGAAGAATATTAAGGTAAGTTACTACATGGAGCTGTGTATACAAGTATACAGGATAATGATGATAATAATAATAATTGTGATAATACATAATAATAATAATAATAATAATGGTTATACAGTAGTAGTAATAATGATGATTATAAATATATATTCAGTAAGCCTTTATGCCTCTCCAATTTCATGGTGAAGGCTATTGAACTCACCCATCTCTCCCTTACATGACACTGGGAGTTACTTCTTCTCATAGCCTTCCTGTGGGATGTTTCTGTAAAGTCATTCCTCTGGGGTTAGAATATTGACATTACAGAGAATTTTCATCTTTAGTTATCCAAATGGTCCTCTAAGGCATTGTACCATAAGGCACCAGGGAGCCTTTATTGTTCTTTATTCTGGTTCCTGGGGTAAAGAGTATGAGTTGCACTGTTACTGGTAATTCATGTCTCTAACTTCACATCTACTGTATATTAACTTGCTTGAGGAAATGGGTTGCTTAATCCATTGTGCCTGTCACTATAAATTTAGGATTGATCCCACAATCTCATTTTATATTCAGCATAGATTAGGCGACTAAGATTCCTCTCTCCCCAAGGATGCTGGTCTGAGCTGAGAACTGAGAAAGGCTGAGACTAAGGCCTGCTTTATAGCCTTTGGGAATTGTAGAGCTTATAGTGCGCTGTATACAGTAGCAAAACATATAACAACTGGCTCCAAAGTTTGCCCCCTATTTAAAGGGCTGACACAAACCTATTTATTCACTCCATAAGTTGCTTAATTCTTCCCAGTTATAAATGGAATTTATGGTTCAGGCCCCAAGTTATGACTGTTAATTTTTTCCCTATTCTACAGAAAACCAGTCATCCTTTTGTCAGGGATATTATACTTCGCAAAAAACGGGTTAGTACATATACAGTACAGTTCTATATATATATATATATATATATATATATATATATATATATATATATATATATATATATATATATATATATATATATATATATATATATATATATATATATATATATATATATATATATCATACTCATTAATTATTAATGATAAAGTTGACATATCAGTTTATGAAGCATCTCGGTTTATTTATTTTTATTCATATATTGCTCTTTAATATTTTTCAGCGCATAATTAAGGCCTCACAACCAGCACGTGAGGAAACAATGTTGTGTAACCTCCAGGGATTGAATTTGGTAAGTGCTGGTACAGTAATAGGAAATAGTCACAGATATGTACGTACTGTACTGTAGTTACCTGGTAAGTCCTGATATTTTATTGTGTACAGTAATTTATAGATTCTTTAATCAAATTAAACAGATTTAAAAGTTACTTACAATTTCTAACTATAAATCCCTGAAGTGTTGTTGATCTTACCAGCAATACCTTGATTAGGATTGATTTGAGTTAGAAGAGAAAATCTCAGTAAAGACAAAGTCAAGTTAGCAAAAAAGAAAAAAAATTGCCTTGCTGAAAACTTACTGCTAAAAATAGTATTTAATATTCCATTTTTTTCCAAATTTTACACTTTTAATACTGAACCTGCATTACATTGATTACAGCTCTCGCACATAAGATAAAGCCTAACCCTGAGAACTATCAATATATTTAATGTGTTCTATCAGTACTGTATCCTGTCATATGGAAATTGTAGCCTATGATACCTTTTTCATATAAGCATAAGATGAAGCTTTTACAATATTTTGTTTTTTTTCATTTATTAGTTGCAGTTGACTATTGTACTGTAGTATGTGAGGTGAAATCAGACTTAGTCTCCCTATTACAGTATATTAAGTAAATACTGACTGTTTCTCCTTAATACTGGTGGTACACCGGTAACACGCATAACTTCCACCAATATGTAAAGGGTTCGAGCCTCGGCCCGGACACACGTGAGAAGGGTGTTATCCAGTGTGACCCTCACTACCAAACACCACAGGTTTCCCTGTCCCCGGTTTCCTCCTTGTGGTTATCAGCATATATATATATATATATATATATATATATATATATATATATATATATATATATATATATATATATATATATATATATATATATATATATATATATATATATATATATATATATATATATATATATATATATATATATATATATATATATATATATATATATATATATATATATATATATATATATATATATATATATATATATATATATATATATATATATATATATATATATATATATATATATATATATATATATATATATATATATATATATATATATATATATATATATATATATATATATATATATATATATATATATATATATATATATATATATATATATATATATATATATATATATATATATATATATATATATATATATATATATATATATATATATAATAGGTGAAGTCTTACTATTTGCCCATTATGTTATGTGAAATATAATTGTCTTCTCATTATACTGTACATACTGTAGTGTGTAAGTACAGTAGCTTTTTATTCCTCTTTTAAGATGAAGTCGGACCTCTCAATGAACTACGATACAATTCCTTCATACATAGAAGAGTCTGACCTCAACCCAGAGCTAAAGGATGCCATGACAGAGAAAACAAGTTTTTGTATGAAACATGCTGAACAGGTAATGGAACGTGTGGAAGGAAGTATCTTAAAAACTCAACGCCAGAGGTTGGTCCTGGGGATGATCTACCTCCAATGTATCATCAGTGAAGGAATGGATGTTTGCCAGGAGCACGAGGCACAGCGCATTGGCCCTCTGTTCTAGTACAGACAACACTGTAGCAGTTGGTTCCACTAGAAGTGGTGCAATGACAACCAGGTCTGGTAAACTTAATGCCACACACTGAGACTACCATTTGTGTAAGTTGAAGATGTAGAAAAAAAATTGAATTTATAAGTACATTCATTCAATGTGATCACTACATATTATTTACCAAGTCATGTACCATAGATTGACTTTAAACTGATCCAATACAGTAATAAAAATAAAAATTTGGGCATACTGTATTTGCTGTGTGTACTGTACTGAAGAAGTTTGTAAGTTGGTACAGTTGTCATGATACAATACAGTATCAGGAAGTGTGTTCTGGCTACTGTACCATGTAGTGACCCGAGTCCCACTCATGAGTATTGAAAGGGTCTCGCTGTCATAGAGGATGTACCAATTAAAAAACGTCCTCTCTAATTTTCTAATATAAATTGTATCTGTTGATAGATCTTGCATAGAACTTTTAGTATAATTATTTTACTTTAATCTATTTTTTTGTTTTAAGTGACTAAAGTAACTCGGACCACAAAAATTACACAAAATTGCTTATCCAGCTGTATTTTCTTTTTATTTTCACGCCTCTACTGAAAAATAATTATTTTAATATACAGTACCATTTATGATAACGTTCATATACCCTACATGTAAATATACCACCATAACTGGATTCAATGATTTTAAAAATAGAAAGGAAGTAGAATTCCTGAATTTTCTCAAAGAATCACTTCCACAGTGATTGTTTATTGATACCCGTAAGTAAATTGTACCATTTGAAGATTATTAGGGACTTTATCAACTATAGGTCTTAAGTCTTGCTGGTAAAAATAATTGTGCTTTAACATTTACAATTTTGATAATAGAATGTACATTTTGCTCAGAATGCCGTGGAAGATAGTAAAAATTTCTTTGGAGTTAGGAATGACATTATTTTTCCATGTGTCCAGAATCATATCTTGTTCAATGTCACTGTCAAACACAGTTAATAAAAAAAAACTGTGCACTAGGCCTTACTATAACGCCATGAAAACAAGCAGATGATATTCCGTTCTGAATCAAGGTCTTCGGGAAAACCTTGGTATGATTTTTTTTTTTTCATTCCCCTCTCTCAGAATATTAGGGAAAGATAGGAACATGCATGCAAGGCTAATGCACACACTAAGTCACGAAATTTTGAGTAAAATTATATCACATCGTAAATATTGCTCAAAGCAAAGAAAATTCCTTTAGATGGTCGAGTCTTAATATATGGCATTCTCTTGAGAGCGACTGAAGCTATCATTGTTCTTGTGTCTGTTTACCACTGACTCCAGCAGAGGGCATCACATACCAGAGTCTAGATACTTCAAGAAGATTCAGAGAAAATTGTAATTCATGAGAGCTGAGGGTAAATGTTTTTAAAATTATGCAATTTCCAACTATTACCCTCAAGAAGGATGAAGCTCGGAACAGAAATTTCGATCATTACATTTAAAGGCTAAAAAGACTTAATCCTAGAGTTTCAAGAGATCAGTCATTACTAATGATGAACAGGACGAGAGATGTTTCCTAAGGATCTGAAACAAAACTAAGTACAGTAGGTCAAAAGAGAGTCCCAGAGGTGAATACCAACCAAAGCCCAGATTCAAAGCCCAATTTTTCTGTTTTACAAAATCAAAATTAAGGACATGTGGGTGTATCAGAGCTGAGACTTGAAGATGGTGCTCATGTAGACTCAGATCACAACAAAGTAGTAGAACTGCCTTTGAGTATAAGCAGTTTGGTATAGCACTGTGGTGTATGAGTTATCAGAAGAGTGTAGTAGAGCTAAATCATCTAAGGTTAAGGAAAGCCCTGACACTGTGATTCCCAGTGTATGATCTCTCACAGGCCCTTAAAACTTTTCTAAAAAGTATGGTCAAACAAAAGATCCCTACTGACTGCAAACTAGCATATGTGAGTCCTATATTAAAAAAGCATGGGTTCTTTTGGCCATGCAAGTCCCCATCTCTCCTATGCAGTATAAACCAATCCCTCTACATATTCCATAATGATGTGTCTGCGTTCACACCAAACAAGTCGAGTCGAGTCATCAGCCATTTGACTCGAAGTCCATTTTGACTCATTTATGTTTTCCTGGTGTGAATGGTTTCTGTAAAATTACAAATAAAATAAGTCCCCTTGAATGTTGAGTCACGAGTCGAGACTCTATATGACTTGACTCGACTCATTTGGTGTGAACGCAGCCTTAGGGTAACAAACTGCACAGAGTAGATAACATGGTGACAATATTTTGATCTACCCAAGATCATATTGAAGCCGGTCTCCTTTAAGGGTTTATTACCTTCACAGCATCTATGAGAAAGACCAAAAAAAACAATCCTTTACTTTCATTTAACTTTATTTATTAATTAATTATTGTACAATATACAGGTACAATACATATTTACAGTGATTTCAAGATACTGTAAAACCTCATTAGTTCAGAGAAGTCAGACTGTGTGAGAACTGCTCATTTTCTCCAAAGGTAATCACATTCCACAGATTAAAGAATAACATGTTTTCCAGTACTGTATACAGTACAGTATCACAATTTGTTCAAATTAAAATTGACGGCAGCTATAAATTGACCCATTTGATTAAATAAGTCATGTCGACAAAAGTATAGTACATATTTGATTACAGGGCACATTTATTGGGAGGGGGGGATTATAAAAAATATTGATGAAAAAATAAATATTCATGATCCATATATAATAGCTAACATTCTCACACTAATTGAGGATAAATTGTCCCATAATGAAATAGGGAAAAGAATTTTGAAATTAGAGGGAAATACAATTTAATATGGTCATAGCACTTTTTCTGGCTTTATAAAGTATCCTTAACCCCTTATGTAAGAAGGTCCCTCTCTGATGAATAAAATTGTCTGGTATTAGTGAAGGGGTTATATAAAACCCTCATCTACCACTTCTCTCTATTATACAGCATAATAGTTCATAGAAACTGAGCACTGTACTGGACCTGTTTGTTAAAATAATGGCTTTAGGATATGAGTCTTGGATTTTGACTGAATGTGTTTGTGGCTTAACAGGTTATTCAAATAATAATCAGTTCTGTATTACACAGATGAGGACATCTCTCACAAGTTGTCTTCCAAGGTTATTAGTCCAAAGAGGATGTCTTCAAAAGGTCACCTCCAGATACCTTCAAGGATATTGCTACAATCTATGTAAGGTAATTCTCTTTAACCTTTCCTTTATGTAATTACTATACTGTAGTTAAATACTAAATAATTTAATTTAAAATATATTTTTAAAAAATCATAAAAAGTGCATGCATGAAATAATTTGGAAATGTTCGTTTAAAAATCATGATGATGGTGTAAACAATGAAGAAAACTCAGGAAGTAGAAGTTATATGTACAGTACACCATAAATGGTGGAGGACATGAATTATGTGTCATGCCCCCAGCAACTGAGTTAACCATTAAGTAGTAATTTGTAATGTGTTACATAATTTAAAACAATTCTCATACAGTACTTCAAGCCCAAGTCTTAAAATCAGCGTTAAAAATGTTTTACAAGTAAAGGGTACTGTGTAGAATACAAGAATTATATATACAGAGAATATAACATAATATATATATAAAGTATTCTGTATATATATATATTAATACTGTACAGTACCAAAAATCTGTACTGTACAGTCATTAATTGATCATGAGAAAAGTAATTGTCATAATTTATTTTTACTGTACATGCTTTAGAACTTGAACACAATTACAATTTTTCTGTACTCTATACAGTACTTAAAACCCATCAACTTCGCCAGATTTTCTAAAATCGGAGTTTGCGTAAATTTTTCCATCTTGTTCACGGGCAATGGCACAAATCACAGACCCTCCTACACCAAATTGTTTCGTCTTGTGGCCAATTGCCTGTAGACCATCAACAATTTCCTGTAAAAGAACAGATAATCTGATTACCGAGTTCTGAAGTAATCATTCTGGTTAATTTTAACCTCTTACAGTGTTTTATGTGTGCAGTGCAGAAGTCCTACACTAAATACCTGATGATGGAGACCTATTAGACTGACAGCTAAACTAAACTTCAAGTTGGTAAGTTGGATTATTCATAATTTTACCAGTACCTGTAAAAGATTTATAGAGAGTACATGTCATTGCTTAATTTTTTCTGCTTATACGTAATAGCTTAATTTGCACATCTGGGCTTTTTATTTTCAGTTATTTTTTATAACTTTCACCACTTATCAGCTTATTAATCATTTGGGCAGTTGGTCTATCCAGTGTTAATACAGGAGGAAACCGGACTTCGGAAAACCTGCGATGTTTGTTAGGGTCACTCTGAAAATGCCCTTCTCACGTGAGAGATATGAACGTTACCCTCTAATTTATGGGATTCTCAGCAACCCGTAAACCCTCGGTATAAATCAACACTGACTTTTCAGTTCTCTACACTTTCAACAGTCCTGCCTCTGCTGTCCACCTGAATCTGTATATATTTTCCTGGGCATTAGTTTATGTTGCATGGAAAAAGTGTGCAAATTTTTAGTCCTGAAGGGTAAAATATAATACAGAAATCAAAGTGACAAGGATATATATATATATATATATATATATATATATATATATATATATATACAGTATATATATATGTCTTGAATATAACCTCCGAACATGAGGTGGGTGAAAACTTACGTTACTGATAAATCTTGTGAACAGTGACACAGGACAGATGGCAATATCCATATCATTCACAAGCTGTTTCCTTGCAGAGTCATGGGATCCAGATGTGTGTATTAGAAGTAGCTGTGGTGTTGAAACCTTAATGCTATTTTCACCACTACGTAGTAAACAGAGCGATAAGACTGGATAATATAGTAAAGGACCATTCACCCGACATCATAAAATAGGATCGCTGGTTCAATTCCTTACTGACAAGCTATGCAACTTAACATACTTACAGACAAAGTTCCATCCTCATAATTAAGTTCCATGGGAAATAGTTGGTGGTGGATTCTGCGTGCATCAACAGCTTCTTTTATGTTGTTTCCCAACCACAAGTTGCGGATTGAAACCCACGCCACTGCCGAGGAGATCTTCGTTCCTCCTGCAGCACCAACGACTAAGCGGACATCCCCATTTTTATCTACTAACACAACTGGGCACATAGAAGACAAGGGTCGCTTCCCTAAGAGAGAAAGAAAAAAGTAGTTGCCCATAATATTGGATATAAATTATATTACATTATAGTCACTTGTAACAGTCAAAGGTAAAACATATTTCCTTTAGTGTTACCAGTAGCTCATTGGTGACTTGGCCGGATGAAAAGATAGAGCGATATATTTCAACCCTATGAGGTTAGACACTTCTGCTCACCAGGTCTGATGAAATTTGCTGGTGATGGAGGAATGCCAAAGAAACTGGTGATGTTAGGAGCCGAGAAATCATCCATCTCATCGTTGAGCACAATACCGGTCTGCAATGATCTGATCCCAGCACCAAAACTGAAGGAAAAGAGATGAGGAATTGATTCTGAAACCCCACTTTATAACCAGCGTGGATAGGCTAACTAATGTACACTTACGACTTATATTATTATTTGAATACGCATAGGTCTCCAGAAACCCTTACGAATAGCAAAATCTGTGAATACGTTCCATTTTCAGTCTCTAAAAACCTACCCTTTGAATGACATGACCTTCAATAAATACCGTGTCAAAATAAATAATGTAATACAGGGGTATCCACTATACTGTACATCATCAAGCTCCTGTTTATGTCGTTTTCCATAAAATATTAATATCCTAAGTCATTTTATGCATACATTGGGGGCATAATGAAAACCAAAGACCTTGTTGGCTATCTAAAGGGCAAAACAACATGACTCTGGAGAATGATAAATGGACAACAGATGCCATAAATGTATAATTTGCATCAGTGTTCACATGAGAGACAATGGATAGCATACCAATACCTAGAAGAATGCATACCTCAGGGGTGGAAAATTAATTACAGTAAAAAGGGATAGCAATTACAGATGATGACATCAAAAAGAAGATAGCTACCCTGAAAGAATTGGTAGGGCAGATAATTATGGAAAAATTTTATACTAATTGTAACTTAACTAAAAACTCGTATGTTTAAAAATCTTACTATAAGTTGACAGTGCTGGTAACAGATACTGCATCACCATTAGGAGCAAGAAGAGAAAAGTGGGCAGTGCCATGATTATCCTGTACAGAGGTAATGGCACCATAATGTTCAGGATCTTGGAAAGTATAGTTATCCATAATTTGATTGCGAATACTTTTGGCAAAGTCATCAGAAGTCAAGTTCCGTGTGAGCTATAAGAGAAAAATATCAGTTATTAAAATTGAACTATTGTATATCAGTAACATTTCATGTCAACAGTTTTAATGTCAAAATACAAATTCTAAAGCCGAATATCACTCCCAGTGTAAGTAACTACAAATACAATTACCCGGTATTTATAATAATAATTACATTTGACCTAAATATACTAATAGTACAGTACTGTATTAAAAACCCTGCTCAGTGCTGTCTTAAAAGATATTATCTCCAAATTCATGACAATAGACAAATACAAATTGCTTTCTCTCTTTCAAGCTTTTTTTCTGCAAGAGTTATAGGGTACTGTATATATTGTATATAGTGTATATATATTTTTTTTATAAAATGATTTAAATATAATTATGGTAAAACATTATCAAGATGGTGCAGTATCTTACTTCAGTCATGTCGACAAAGTCAGCATCTCCTAATTCTGTCCTCTTAGCATAAGCCCACTTCATGGCCTCAGTAAGCCGCTGGTGTGTTAGAATAATATTTTTCTCATTCATGCTATCAGGAGTGAGTTTATACTCATCCATAATGTTGAGAATGAACCCCACAATGAGACCAGAGCCAGGCGGTGGAACAGAGTATAATGTGTAGTCACCCTGCTCAATACTCACATTCACTGCATCTTTCCAAACTGGTCTAAAACCACAAGATATTTTAATTAGTACATAAACAATATTTAGTGTCAAAAACCTTCAAATATAATTTTTTTTACAACAATTCATAGAGAGCTTGTAATAAAGATGCCAAATATCCAACCACTTTATAACAATAGTCGTATTCCATCTATCTACATCTTTCTGTGTTTCTTGAACTGTATTTACTAAGCTACTACAGGTTGAACCTCTTTTATCCAACATTCCATCGACCGGCAACTCTCAATTAATGGCATTGTTTTAGAAAAAAACTTTATCTGGAACACTTCCAAATTTACAGCACATTCAACCATCATGTATTTGAAGCAAGTTTTACAGCTTGATGCCCATCCTATCATCCACCCATTTATATAAAGTGGGAACTAGGCTTTATATGTAGGACTTCAAAGTACCCTCTTAATTGACAGAGCAGGTTTGCAATACCCTGCGGCAGTCAAAGATTGAAAAGTCCATTATTGACAGAAGAACTGTAACAACCTTAAAAGCTTCTCAATAACAGAGAAGAATAATTCCTAGAGTAGCCATTAAGATTCTGCAGCACTTCCTGCTCAAGTCTGAAACAAATTTATTAAATCATTCTTAAAATATTGCAAAAGCATGAATAGGGAAAAAATTCCAGGTTCCAAGAACAGAACATTCAAACAGAAAACTTCTTTCACACATAACTGTCAAGTATCGTCATTACTCACGTATATCTGCGTAAATCTTCTGCTGTGATAATGCCACCAAAGCTTTGGATATCTTGAGCTAGTTTGTAAGCCAATTGACCTGTGTAAAGAGCATCAGGGTCATTCTGAATTACTCGCAGAGTCTCAGATAGTTGTGGCCTCTTGAGGATGTCACCCTCTTGATACACATCTTTAGTGTCAGGGTTAATAAAAACACTGGAAATAAAAATACAGTAATAAAAATATTAGTTGAAGTATTAAACAGAAGCGTAACTGTGTACATTATCTGCTAAGTTTATAAGGGAAGGCTGAGGAACATAACTGTTAATATAATTAGTGATATTAAGAACATACCTTAAGCATTAATGGAAGATTAATGTAAAGTATTTCGTTACTAGGAATGTATTTCAAATTTATGCAATATTAAGTAATAAAATCTCTTATTTTAAAATGTCTGGTACAGTATTTCAAATCCTTGTCACCTCCCTCCCTCCCCCTTTAGTTAAAAATAATTAATAGATTTTCGGTTTTAGCAACTGTGGTCTTCCCCTAATTAGTTTGTTATCCCAAGGGTTTACTGTACCTTAATACCTAGACTCAACACACTATATTAGTACAAAATCAGACTGAAAAAAAAGTCATTTGAAAGCTACTTATCTCAAAGCACAAATTGAATAGCTTTCTCCTCATATGTCACCCTTAGAGAGTTAAAAAAAGATCTGAATTTTAGGTTTGTCAGTTCATAAGGTAATTTGGTGAAGAACCTTACTTAGTGTACACATACTGTATACATCCATACACAGAAACTGAATTAATCACCCAAAAAATTAACTCGTTGCATCACTAGTATCAACTTAAATGCCAATAAAAGTTCCATCCCCACACCTCATGCTTGGTTCGTTCTTGATAGCCTTTGCATTAAACTTCAGTGCCCTTGCCATGTGCCAGTTAACTCTGTGGCCTTCTTCACACAGCTTAATTGTGGGATCTATCAGATCAGCCCAGGGAATTTTGCCACCAAATCTCTCATACAGTTGATAGTAGCCACGCAGCTCACCAGGCACAGCTACAGCCAAGCCACCTGAAGTGAATAAACAAAATATGAATAAAATTTTGAGAAACTTGGCTATTATCTTGTTTATCACAATGTCAAGAAAAACAAATGGATTAATAACCATAGTGGGGTTAAACCTGGGTAGTGATGATGTCCAAGGAGTGAACAATCAAATCAAATCTGTAGGAAATATTATACAGTACAGGGGCCCCCCAAATTCACGGGGGTTAGGTTCTCAAAATGGCCGTGAATCACCAAATCAATGAATAACATTTGCTGACCGGGGGGGGGGGGTACATTTTTTACTTGTGTACCAAAAAATGTATATTCCCTTTATGAGTTTGCCCTTAGGACAATTATTTCTTTTACCTGTATTGTATATAGTATGTGTGTGTGTGTGTGTAGACACACACACACACACATAAAACACATACAAATAAATAATACATAATGGGAAAATGCTCTCACAAATAATCAGAAACAAATTTATTAAAAATGTGCGTCTACCTTCAAGTCCGTGCTTTATTAATAAAGCACGGACTTAAGGGTAGACTCACATTTTTTAAATTTTTTTCTGATAATTTGTGAGAGAATTTTCCCAATATTATTTATTTGTACAGTATATGTTTTGTGTGTGTGTGTATGTGTACATGTTTACACACATACACACACACACATATTTACAATACAGGTAAAGGAAATTACTGTCTCTAGAACGAATGGTTCCCTGTCCCAGCTGCAAAAATGACGGCAACTTTTAAACTACCCACAGACATTCTTGAGTACATCCAGAGTGTCATCCACGAATAATAGAGGACCTCAAAATACAAATCCGCAATTTTGGGGACCCCTGCAGTGCATATATCACTTTCCTACATAAATGGAACTTCTGTCACATGGTGGTAATAATTGAGTCACTAATTCAAAGGAGGTAGCAAAGAGGGACTTTGATATAATGGAACATTTTTCAATGCCTTCATAAGTAAGGACAGATTAATGCTAGCTTTAGTGAAGCTAAAAATCTGCAATGGTTACATCAACCATGGAAGAGAAGAGGTCATTCAATAGCATAAAAGACAGGAGACCCTGTTCAGAGCTAAGAGGGCAGCTAGGTATTGATATTAGTGGTGAAGTTTTGCTTATGGTTATGTTGAAATGGCTTGGGCATGTGGAGAGAATGGATGAGACCACCTGGTGTCAGGAGATGGTCGAGTCTACAGGGGTAATTTGTGGAGGGAAGGAAAACCAGGGGTAGGCCAAGAATGACATAAGGAGAGTTTATAAGATATGACATTAAGAACCTGACAAAAAAGTCTGCAACGGGCCATGCAGCATGGAGAGCTGCCATCAGGTATTTGCGAAAACCCATATAAGCGTGGAAAATTATTACCATAGAACGTTAAATGATGGCGAAAAGTCCAAAGTCAACTGAAACTAGCAACTCAAACTATAGTGTAAACAACAGCATGCGATGATCTGATGAGAGTCTTACACTCACCTTTGAGACTTGGTTTTGTGTCGGCCCACCACCTTCTTTTGGCTGATGTAATCAAAATATAAAGTAATAACAGTACAGTACAGGATATAAACATAATGCTGACAGATATGGTGTAAAAATGTATTACGGTATAAAACAGTAATTCCCAAACTTTTTCCCATAACGTCCCTCTTTTGCCTTTTACCAATCCCTCATGTCTCCCCCCCCCAAAAAAAAAATCGATTTTACACCTTGTACAGTACTCGTATTTATATTACCTGTACTTTCAGGGTCAACTAACTCGAAATTATTTTATCCACATATCTCATGCATCTGGAGAAGATTGTAGTACCCAGTACAGTACAGTATACTACTACTACAGTATAGTGTATACAAAAATAATGTTAAACAATTTTACTGAAAATTTTCTAATAAAAAACAAAGAATGTCAATAGTACAGTATTGTTTACAGTACTATATGTTTATCAGATCCCCCTACCCTAGTTTGGGAACCACTGGTATAACACAAATAACTAACAATTATAAATTTTATATGTGAGGTACTGTATATTATGGAACAAAGAATAATTTAATTTTGAAAACTTAAACAAAACTAAACAATAATAATAAAATTATTCAGCAAACAACAAACATAAAGGAGTGGGCACTGAGGATGTAGCTTGATGTTTATGGCCCCTTCATTGGGTCACACATCCATACTGATTTAATTCCAAACTTCTGCCATCTTTGCTGATGTATCATACTATTGTCATGAGTTAATTAACTATAAACTAATTATCTTGGGGTTGATAAATTGCAATCATTTTTTAGTTTAAATTTTTTTACAGATGAGGCAAAGTGGAATTATGTTCTCCTTTCTGAATGAGGAAGGAGATCAGTTTTAGCATAGCCAGAAAATTGGAATTGGAATTAACATCCTTTACGAACCTCAGATGATAAAGTCATCAGAGGATAGCAATTTATACCCTTTATTTATTTACAGATCTACCACTGCAGTCCTGAAGTATATTGGAGTTTGTCTTTCCATGAGAGATGAGTTAAGGTGATATGCACCCAAACTTCTCCTGGGTTTAACATCTTCACCGGCACATCATGTTGATTTTCATCCAAAAAGGTGAATATTGAAAACAATGAGAGCGAGTTGTAACTGTAAATAAGTGGAGGTGAAGTGTGATAAGACCATAAAACTAGATTCAGACTGTCATGCAGATAAAATTAAACCATGCAAAAATATCAAGTTAATTAAAATGGTATGTGGATGTGATCAAAGGTGTTCACTTTCAATACTATAAAATAAGCCATATACTGTCAGTATATACAAATCTGTTTATTTACAGCTAAAACCTTTTATATTGGCTTTTACTTTCAGTCCTACAGCATTACTATATAATACGAACATAAGATATAACACAATCCAGATTGGCTTCCCACATATACAAACTACATCCTCATCCACCAACACTCCTTACCCGACATGAACTTTTTACATCATTTTCAAAACTTTGTTATGTTAAATATTGCATTTGGGTGCGCCATTACTAACCTACTTCCATTAAGTTCCCATTGCCGTGATACATATCTTCATATGCAGCAGCTGCAGCACTCTCTCTGGCATTCAGGGAGTATGCCTTGCCCGTGGCACGGTCATAGTATGTCATGAAGAAGCCACCTCCAAGACCCATTGACTGTGTATTGACCACCCCCACACAAAATAGTCCAGCTATGGTGGCATCAGCTGCACTACCATTCTTTTGAAGAATTTCTCTGTTCAGAGAGAGAAAGAGGCAGTTATTTACCAGGAGTACAGATCTTAAAGCTCAATTATAATTGGACACATTTGTCTATACTGTACAGTATTTACATTCTGCAAACTGTAGACAATATGCGGCCAGATAAACTATAACAGTACAGTACTGTACTATACAGTAGTATTCTGTGACTGGCATGGTCATGGAATATAAATACACAAGAGCTCAACAGTACATCTGAATTACTTAGTCAAAATATCCCTCCATATCACTCTCATCTTCCTAACTGTCTGTCTTTTATTATTAATATTCCTACATACCTTCATGAGGTTATTTCATAATTTTGTTTTCAAATTTCATACAAAGATATTCTTCTACATGCTGATTAAGGGGCTTAGCAAGCCAGTTGCACAAGTCTCTTAACAGTCTGGGATGTATCCCATTTCATACCCAAAGTGACTTGCCTACAAACATCCCTGTCTTTACCCAAGCTGAGTCAAGTACAAACATCCCAGTTCTTCCCCATTGTCTTTGATAAATATATGTATTCTACCCCAAGTCACCTATAAACATCCTCATCCTTATTCTTCCTTCAATTAAGTCCTGTACTCTTACAAACATCCCTATTCTTTTACTGAATCATACAAACATCCTTAGTCTTACCCTGTGGCACTGATCAACACCCTTCTCCTTGCTTCATAATGTATGAAGTCACATTTAAACATACCTGATACCTCTTTTGACGAAAATGAATCTACGTTTGCTTACATTATATGACAGTCAACCACTACAGCAATCTTACACACCAAATCAACTTACGTTGCAATTTGAGCACAGGGCGCACCATCAGCACTGACAGCTGCTGTGCCATACTTTCCCAGCACTGTTGGTGATGGTGGTGGTACTGTTGGGATAATTCTGGCTTGAGTATCATCCCAAGCCTCAAACAACCCTGACCTTTCACGTGATTCCTGCAAATTGATTGAGAACAATAAAATAATAGTATAATAAAAGCTCCCTACAGGGTACTCAAAGACACCATGTCATCTTGTGGTCCACTTTTTCACACCACAGGTTGACTCAATGTACTCATACATTAAACCTTGTTCTTTGTGATCTGCCATATGCTTAGCTATTACAAGTACTGTACATTATAGTATTTCAAAGTACTGTACTGTAATTTTTTTTAATTTCTCAGCCCAATGGAGAACTGCCATTAGGTTATCATGGCTAGGAAGCATGGAAAAGGGGCATAACATGATAATGATGGGTATATTAGGTGCCTTGACAGAATTGGAAAATCTAATAAAGTGTTGTACTGAAAGATCAAGAAAGCTGTAGTATTCACTAATCCTTATCCTTTCATGACTCTGAAAAGCACACTCTGATAATTAATAGAATGCAGCTGATTGAGTATAGACAGGTAGTGAAAGGCAGCTTACTCAATATAAGGAAATTAGAAGCTAAAAGGGAGAATGCACAAAATGTGAGCTTAGAATAGAGAACTTTGGGATACATACCTGTCCAGGTACCTGATTGAGAGTGACATCATTATTGCTTGGTTGAAGGCCTGAAAAACATTTCATAGGTTATTTTATTAAACGTTTTTACAGTACAGTACTTTTGTCAAGTATAAATTCTGAGCAAGACAGCTTCCTACACCAGTGTTCAGGTTAACATCAACACAAATGATCTAAGGTGGTCTTCATTGTAACATAACTCACAAGACTGATGTGCTGGTGGTATAGTAGTACCCTGTAGCATGTTTCTCTATTACCACTGTACTGTGGGTTCATTTCCTGGGTCGGATGTATGAAGGGAGTTACCAGTGTGACCTTACCGGACATCTCCGTTCCAAATTCTCAGGTTTCTTTCTATATTAAGTTACTAACACTGAACAATGAAGTTCATAACAAAGAACAGACTGATGGCCAAACAGTTAATAGGTGGTGCCCTGACAAGTGGTACATGTGATAATTAATTTATTGATCTCATATGATAATTAATTCATTAATCTCACTATAAATAACTAGAAACCTTTTAATATTAATTAAATGTAGAACAATGATCATCATCTTTTGAGATATAAGTGATTAAGTGTGCAGTGCAACAAATACTGCAGAACTATCCTGTATACCAAGTAGAGGAATATTCATCAATACTGTAGGAGTAATGGTACTTTGCATGAGAGCCTCACTTCCTGCTATGAGGACAAGGAGGATTATGTTATGCACAAATGATCATGTGTGGTTAGATTTGTAAGATATTTAAACTTTTTGTTTCCTTGTAGCAGTGTTTACTCACTCCACACTTTTAAATACATTTTACTGTACAGCCATTTCTTAAAAGCAATGTACAGTGAAACATTCATAATTCAGAATAATCTGACTACAGTATACTGTACAATACAGGTACAGTACAGTACTGTATGTATATGATGTATACATATTTTTATTACAGACATGCAGAAGGGGAGAAGAATGAGAGAACATTTCATACGGTATACTGTACTGAGTGGCAAAACTGTCTATGTCTTTTCCCTCTGAGTATATATTTCTGGTGAGTTAGTTTCAAGTATTTTATGTATTATCATCGTATTACTGTACGCTGTACTCTATTAAATAATAAATTTTCCATTTAATGTGTTTAAAAATGTTTATTTTCATATGTACTATATAATTGTTTTTCATTATGTATTTTTTGCTAAAAAATATTCTGTAGGAATGCATCTCCCATTATAGAATAGGTTTCAATGGGAAAATTGGTTTTGCATTACAGAATTTTTCGTTTCAGACAATTTTTCAAGAATGCATCCCTTCCATAATGCAAGGAATGTCTACATTATTAATATTATATGATCATTAGCTTATTTTATAAGGTACAATACTTACTGAAACAATGGTAGAAATTGGTCAGGGCCACAGTAGAGTAGAGTACAGTACAGTAGGTTTTGGAATTCATCCCTATATTTTACTTTTACAGTATAGTCTGCATTTACGCGGTCAATTGAACCTGTGAAAGCCCGTGTAAAACAAGAAACACATAAATGAAATAACAGAACATATGGGATTATAATTGAAATAGAGACTGGGCCGACCCCCAAACTCCACTTTTTCCGACACAATACGTACGTTGTAGTAAAAATAACATCTTAATTTTATGATGGTACGCACACACAATTAATAATATTAGGTTTTTTAACACTTACGTTAGTAGAAAAGCTGGGTCGGCACACGTGGATGGCAGATGGCAGATTAGTTGCCTTCCGGTGAATCACTTTCACTACTCACAGAGGTTTGCAGGGCCTCCCAGACAAACCCCTCAAAGTCCATATCCTCACTGTCAATATTACTATCACTGACTTGGGCTGGCTGTGGTAGTGGTGGGTTGTGGGCGAGGAAGTCCTCAATACTACGTTGACGACTAGCATTGATGTTGTCGAGATAGATCTGGATATACGGCTCCATAACTTTCGTCAGATGGTTATTAGACACTTCATACCGATGCTTGTCTGGGTCGTTGTCAAGGACGAGCTTAATTTTCTCCCCCAACTCGATGATTTCCTTCACATTATCATGGCTTGGTCCAGGTAATTCAATGTTTTTCTCTGGTGGTGGGGGTCCCGCGGAAGCCATTGTGAGTTGTGAGGGGAATAGCGGGCACAAGAGAGAACTGTATACACGGACTGAGAACAATGAGACAGGACCCGGCTAGGTCAGCGACTTCTACCCTTTGGTGGCAGGGCATGTCATGTTACAATAGACCAATCACAGCTAGCGGCGGAGGGAATGCGTGGGTGGTAAGGATGCGTGGCCCAATCACAATCCGATACGTCATATGACGTCAGTGATAACATAAGAGCGGCCTTATGCACACCACTCACCGCGCCACTTCCCGCGTATGGTTAAGAATGGACCGCATGGGTAAAAAATGGCGCGGCGGTCTGGACCTCTCCAGCCGCTCGCCGCATAAATGACCAAATTTACCGCGTAATTAAAGCATTTTCATTCTGGCAAAGCACCGCGTAAATGACCAAACGTGTAAACAAAAACCGCGTAAATGCAAACTATACAGTATATAGTTGTTCATTTTATGCAATTTCAGCTTGCTTATGCAAACTTTGAAGCGAGGGATTCTTAAAAGTAGATGAATTATGAGAAACTGTGGAGGTTTTAGTGTACTGTATCTTATTTTTTCTTTGATCAAAAAAGTTACATTTATGGTTCTGATCTTATCAAGCATTTCATAGAGCATTCTTGCACTGAGCATCTGCTTTATGGCTCCCCCAACTTTCAAGGTGTTTTTGTCCCTCCATCTATACAGTACAGTATAAAGAGAACATTATCCATATGCATTTACAGTAAAATATGCTGTACTGTATTCTGATAAAATAAATTACCTGTACGTAGTTAAAAAATATTTGAAGCCATATAAAAATTAAATAGTAAGTTCAGATTAATGCTTCATTCTTATGTACATAAGTACAGTACAGGTAGAAGCACTGTACAGTACAGGATTGTACTGTACTGTATACAGATACTGTGTACTTACCAACACCAAGGCCTATTGCAATAACTCCGATACAAGCCACTGCAAGCAATCCACATGATATCAACTGCTTTTTAGTCACCTGCCTGCCAAGAACAAATAAAAGTTAATACTGTACTTGTTTACATAATGACAAATGTATTGATATATAATGTTCTTAGGTAAAAAGACTGCTAACATAATACCATACAATAAATGCAGCTTTTATATTAACAATTATTTCACTTGTTTGCTTTAATTTACAACTTAAAATTAGGTTTTTAGTGATAAAAAACTTTGATTTATTTCATTCTGAGGTTGGTGAGCACATCCTCTAACCTTAGGCATATTTTCCCTTACTGTATATAGTAATCAATATACCCCTCTGTACATGTACAGTACTGTACTACCCGCACAGTACTGTACAGTGGTCCCTCAGTTAACGAGCACAATCCGTTCCAGCAGGATGCTCGTTAACCGAAACCATTGTTTCAATGGGTTTTTGAGTAATTGGTTCCAGCTCACCGAAAATTGCCTAAATTCAACAAAAAAGGTAGAAAAATAAACTTACTTTGAGGTGTGTATGTAGAAGGCTCCTGGATGATGATGATGATGATGGGAATTAGAATAGGGGTGGAGGAGAAGGGTGAAGAGAAGGCATTGGGGTGGAAGAGAAGTCACCCCATGGCGCCATTTCACCCATAAAATTTTAGTTCTTTTGGTGTAATTCAAGATTACTTTCCTTAAACAACACTGCACTGCATTATATATTGTCAATATGTAAATTAAATTTCAAAATGACCAATAATTTACATGCAAACACAGAAAAAAGCATTTAGTTGAAGAGAGTCTCAAGCAAGATGTTACCTCCACTGAAAAGAGAGAGAGACTGGCGCCTGTTTGGTGTGTTGCCAGGCTGGATGGCGCGCATGAAACTAGTTTCTTTACCTTCAATTATGTTCAATAATTGTTAAAATTACTAAAAAATTTAATATTAAACTTTTAAAATTATTGAATAGTATAAACTTCTTGATATTTACTAAAATAGTAAGGAATTTAAGCCCTAAAACCGATTACTGTATTGGCGGACTAATACTACAGCTGGTGGACCGCCAAATGCAAGCGAAAACATGTTGAGGTCGGCTCGTAAAAAACTCGTTAATCGAGGGATTGCTCGTTAACCGAAGTTAAGAATCTTATGGAAGGTAAATCGTCAACCGAAATCTCGTTAACCGAGGCGTTCGTTAACCGAGGGATCACTGTACATTATTTCTATTTGAAATAGAACAGAAAAAAATACATTTTAAGGAGTTTTTAGCCAATTATCCAATACTGTACAGTACTGTATTCTACAACTGTAAAATCATATACGTAAATTCTTTATCAACAGAGAGTATTGCTTGAAAGAGTCAATAATAATTAACATAACTTGACCATGCTAAGATCCTCATGTTATAATAAAACACATCATATCATTATGCAATGTAATGGAATAAAAATTCAAAACAGGTCTTATGAAATACTTCAAAATAATCAAAATGCATAAATTTATATTATATTATTTACTGCACTGTATGTAAATATTGTTTCAAACACTGTTCAGCAAAAACTCAAAATTCTGTGATTCAAAAGTCAAGATTTCAGTTTCATATTTGCCCCTTGCAACACACCACCTTAAAACCAATGCAAGATGAAGTGCAAAAGCATTACTGACCTTAATAGGGAAATATGCAGAGTTCGTGCTGACTTCATAGACTTTTAATTAATTTTTTTACCCTAACAATGGATTCCAAGAAGACCAAGTGATGGTAATACTTACAGTGGTGCAAAGAGGAAGTATATTACTATATATTAATATCATGCAAAAAGAGTTTTTTGTCATAATAGCTCATGTATATTATTATCAATATACAGTATATGTATGACTTTCATCCATTTCTGTATAATTCATTGCACTGCTGACACAAAAGACCCCACTGGCCATTCAGAGTACTTTTCAGCATCTATACCGTACGTACTCGACATCAGATGTGTTGTTACACACAGATCAGCTCTCGGTCATCTTGCATTTTGTGCTACCCAGAGGACCAGTCCATTCCTTGATCTTCAGAAGCATCAGTAGTTACATGGGAGAAACTTGCCTCATACCTACTTGACTTTTTCAGTGATAATGGTAAGGATACTGACTTCAGTTTCCTTCATTTCATGGATATAGATTATAGAAAATCAAGGACAGCCAGCTCCTTCAGAGGTAGAAGTTGTAAAAAAAAAAAACGTAAGTGAATTACACAAAATGCATTTCACCAGCATGTTTTGTCAGTCTCAAGATAAGAGAACTATATTCTTTACACAAATTTCCTGAACTTGGTACTAAGGCTGAACCTTCCTCATCAAGTACTACGTTAGTTTTCCTTATTAATTTTTTTTAGTTTTGTTCCTTCTCACAAGTTGATAATCCAGAATACAGGGTACATGTACCTTTTGGCAGACCTCCTCTGGGATTTTACCTAATTTTGGATATGATTAGATAAACCCCGATTACCATTTACGTAGTATACTGTATACAAGTGTACATGCACTTTCAACTGCTATACAGTAGTCCAGAGAAACATGCTTTAAACTATGCTAGCAAATCTCCAAACCAAAATCGTGGCCTGGGTAAGGTTCTCTATCACCAAGGGTTAGTGTCAATGCTAGGAAACTATTCATTCCAGGTAGTTCAGCAGCCAAAGTGTAAGCGAGAAGCACACTCATAAAGACTGAATTTGGTGTACTTCACGAAGTATTTTCTCATTTCTTCTTTCCTTCGTTTTTCCCAGGTGATAATTCCTAACGACTTCCTTTTCAGGTTCTTCTGCAGCAATCAATATACAGTATAGTAAGTACTGTACTATACTCATAAATACACCAGACAGTGCACAGTGTTGGTCAGGTCAGGGCCCAGGACTCAGGTGTCAAGATGTAAACAAAACAACCTGCCAGATGTACGACGAGCTTCACGGCCAGATGTACGACAAGCTTCACGGCCAACTTCACGCCATCTCACGGCCAAATCGGCCAAAACTTTTTGGATGGGAAGCACAAGGCTATTTTTGCAATCCGCACAAAATAAAAGTATACCCTACAATATCCACTTAAAATGTCGTAATAAAACCAAATTTTCACTTAGAATTGAGAGCCCAATAATTACCTAAAATAATATCTATAATCTACAGTGAAGATTTACCTTAATCTGAAATGGTGGTGGAGCATGATAACACCAGTTGGCGTCAGCAAAAACGTCTAGTTAGTCATCGTCCCCTTGTTTGTTATATTTTCTACCACTGTCGTAGGACCCTTTCCATTTACTAGTGGACATTTTGAAAACTAGCACTCGGAATTTCAGAAAGTAACTCAGATGGCTTTGTAAGCTATGAAGCTTAACCCATATGTTGGACACGTTCAGCCTGAACAACTCAAATATGAGAACTAACAACTAAGGTAGTAACTAGAAAGATCAGTCAGCTCAGTAGGTCACGTAAATATGTGAAGAGGTGAGGTCACTGATTAGGTGAGGTCATGACAAGGTGAGGTTGTGGGGTATGTTATGTTTGGGTTCACACTCAGGATGGGATGGAGAAAGGAAACTCACAATGTGCTCTCTGTATACATGTTGTATTGGATGTACAATGCAGCTTGGTGCTGGGAAGGCAGCATGGTTACAAGCGTGATGTAGAGAGAGCTGGTTGGTGTGGGTGCTCAGAGGAGGACAGCTTGTGGGTCGCCATGCTCGCCGGCGGGAGCGAGGGCCGCCAGGCAGTGGCGGAGGAGGTGGTGTTGCTTGCTGTGGCTGTAGCTAGAAGAAGAGCGAGGTCACCACGAGGTCAGGTCTTAAATAGCGGAGGTAGGCGTGGCTTAGTAGTTGACCTCCGTCATGTAAGGCGGCGCTGGTTGACCCAGACCACGAGGCATCACTGGGGAATTCGTAGGGTCGGCTACTCAGGGACAAACAGCGTTTGTAGGGGAGAAATCCACTACAAGGTCACTGAGCCAGCATTTTCATTGTGAAATTTGAAAATGTGCTAGACTTTTCTTCAAAATCCACGAGATGAGGAATTAACACGTGTTTTACAAAATACGGCCAAATAATTTGGGCGTGACCATCACGGCCAGGCGAAGTTTTTTACGGCCTAATTAGAGAACTTTGGCCGTGGAAACGGCCATCTGGCAACCCTGTGCGAGCCGTAATTAGGGTTGCCAGGTCAGTCAGGAACTTCATTCCCATCAAATATATAATATATATATATATACTGTATATATATATATATATATATATATATATATATATATATATATATATATATATATATATATATATATATATATATATATATATACAGTGGCGGCTCGTGCATAGGGCTGCAGAGCTGCAGTCCCCTCAGACACTCACTGCCAGGCGTATGATTCCTTTAGAGAGACAGCTGAATAATACACTACCAACAAATATATCATTTTATATGTTATTTAATTATTTTCAATACGTTGCTAAGTGAATTTTCATTAAAATCAGACCAAAATTTAAGTTACTTTCATAGTTGCTGTCAATGCTGTACGATTGATGTCTGTTATCGCCGCCGCCGCCGCACTTGAAGCAGCTCAGTCTCGTGTTTACATTGCGTGTGGACGGTGTGGTTAAATCGTGCTTTGTGTAAATCAGAAAGTCTCATAGACTTGTTGGAGATGATGAATGACAATAATCTACAGTCAACATTTTCAGACACTGTCAAGTTGCTGAAAATTTTAATAACAACTCCAATGACAACGGCAGAAGCAGAAAGGTGCTTTTCAACTTTGAAGAGAATTAAAACTTTTTTGCGCAGTACCATGGTGAATGACAGACTGTCTGCTTTAGCAGTGATATCCATTGAAAATAAAATGATAACAGAAATAAAGGATTTTAATGAAATAGTAATAAACAATTTTGCTACATCGAAGAGCAGACACGCGGACTTTATTTTCAATTAATACTGGTCCATCACTACTACCATGCCCTGGGAATTAGTGGACATCAACTACAACTCATACCTGAGGTAGGTCACCTACTGTTGTGTGAGGCTTGCAGTCCCTCCAGTTTATTTTTCACGAGCCGCCACTGTATATATATATATTGTTTTGGTCATATTTTCATTTATAAATAATATTATTTACGAATATTATACAGTGATTATAATTATGTACAGTATTGTACTAGACAAATTACATACAGTATTTAGTTAACTGCAAAATATCGCTTTATTGTTTAGGCTGTCTTGATGACACGTTCCAGATTGATATTTTATATTTTATGTCCACAGACTCATAACTTTCCTTCCCTACTCAATTTTGTGGTGTAGCTCTGAATATGGAGCATTGACACTTTTTACTTTTACCTGTAGCATTTTCGCCACAGATCGGCTCGTTGGCCGCTTGGGAGGTCGGTCACGTCTCTATTACACACTGTTGGCAAGTACTGGCTCCAGAATACAGTATATCGGAACCTGCTCCAGTGTTGGTCAAGTTTGGCCTTGAACGAGCTCACACTCGGTGCCGTCACATAAGAACATAAGAATGGAGGAAACTGCAGCGGGCCTATTGGCCCATACTGGCCAGTCCCATTTACACCCAACCCCTATTGCTCATATGAGCATCCAACCTATGTTTGAAGCAATTCAGCGTATTCGAGTTAATGATGATATTTGGTAACTTGTTCCATTCATCCACTACTCTGTTTCCAAACCAGTGTTTACCTATTTCACGCCTAAATCTAAATTTGTCTAATTTAAAACCATTGTTACGAGTTCGCTCCTGGTTGGATAGTTTGAGTACCTTTGTAATGTCCCCTTTGTTTAGCCCTGACTTCCACTTATACACCTCTATCATGTCGCCCCTCTCTCTACGTCTCTCGAGGGAGTGCAAATTAAGATGCCTTAACCTGTCTCTATCCTCAAGATTCCTAATGCCCGGGATTAGTCTTGTCATTCTCCTCTGAATTCTTTCCAAGAATTCTATATCCATTCTGTAATAGTGACCAGAACTGAACTGCGTAATCCAAGTGAGGTCTCACAAGCGCAAGATACAGTTTTAGGATGACCTCGCTAGTCTTGTAACTAACACTCCTTTGTATGAACTCAAGTACTTTATTAGCCTTGTTACGAGCAAAAACACATTGTTTACTTGGCTTAAGGTTCCTACTTATCATTACTCCTAAATCTCTCTCGCAGTCGGATTTCTCTATGATGCTGTGAAGACCAGCCTTCTCCTGTCCGAGAATTTGTGCTGGGACGATTTACGCAATACTGTTTTCTCTTGGAATACCATACTGATCTGCATTGACCCGCACTTGTAAGTACAGCCTAAGTGATGGCATACCCCTCGGTACTGAAATATTGTTGACTAATTACGCCTACTCGTTTCGGCCTAACCTGCAGTAATAAGACAATGCAGAATGAAGCGAAGCCAAGATTAATAGTTATGAACTTTGTGTTATGTCAGTATGTTTAATAAATTGTAATTAAGATACAATTGTGTGAGACTAACTAATTGTGTATCAGATGGATCACCTTGTAATATTATGAACGCTTTCTCCTCTGCAGGTTTTGACCACATCAATAAATGTTGAATGCGTCAAAAGACGGGTTTCAATCATTCCCTTCGACTTGCCCCTAACCTGAACGTCCTTAACTAAGACGTTTACAATCCTCTTCACCACTGATCGGCTCGTTAGCCCCTTGGGCGATCGGTCACGTCTCTGTTACACACTGTTGGCAAGTACTGGGCATGCACTGGCTCCTGAATGTACCTGAACCCGCTCCAGTGTTGGTCAAGTCTTGTCTTGAAAGAGCTCACACTCAGTGCCGTCACAACACTTTCTGGGTATCTGAGGTTCCGTAGAGCAGGCGCCCGTCTGGTGGCCCTCCTTTAGACATTTTCAATCAATTGACAGTGTCTATCATACCTCGGGGACCAGACGGTGACAGTATTCCAAACGGGAAAGCACCTCACTCTTGAATACCGTGACGAGCGACATGTGGGGTTATGAGGTATGTGTTCACACTCAGGATGGGATGGAGAAAGGAAACTCACAATGTGCTCACTGTATACATATTGTATTGGATGTACAATGCAGCTTATTGCTGGGTAGGTAGCATGGTAATAAGCGTTGAGTAGAGAGAGCTGGGTGGTGAGAGTGCCCAGAGGAGGTACACGCGACTTGAGGGACGCCAAGGTCGCTGGCGGGAGCGGCAGCAGGAGGTGGTGTTGCTTGAAGGTGGCACTGGGTAGAAAGAGGCTGGTCACAGTGGTGTCAGGTCTTATAAGGCGGGGGTAGGCGTGGGTAGATAGTTGGCCCCCGCTCCATAGGTGGCGCTGGAGGCGTAGGCTGGGAAATTCGAGAAGGTTCTGTGCTTGTAGGGGAGGAATCCACTACAGACGGACCATCCAGATATCTAAACAACCTTCTTATAAACCATATGGTTTCGTTGCTTGATTCACCTTCTTCTCACAATGGCCCGAGAACTTAAGTTCCTTCTTGTCGACATTCACACCCCAGGTCCTTTTCGCATTGTCTCAATGCAGTTTCTTCGTCCTGTTGTGACATGTGATACGCCTCCTTACTGTTGTGCTACACAGGTGCATGCTCTTGCAGACATTTCGTGACATTGAATCTTCGCAGCTATTTTTTCGATCATACATGAAACTCAGAGATCTTTCTGTAGCTTTTCACAGTGAAACATATATCCGAAACATACTATGTATACTGTACTGTATAATGTCAGTACCTTCAATATTATTAACTAACCCGCAACCACAACTGGAGGGCAGAGTACAATTCTATTGTTTTCGGTCCTACGAACCAGTGTGTCGGCAACAGTATAGAACACAGGACGATTATGCAAGAGGGAATCTTTAACATTATTATTATTATTATTATTATACTGTATTATTATTTTTTACAGTAATATTATTATTATTATTTTTATAGTTATTTTTACAGCATTTTTAAAATTATTATTATAGCATTATTATTATT